GTTCAGGGTGTGATCCTGATGACCCAGGATCAGGTCCCGCGTCGGGCTCCCTGCATGGAGCCTGCTTCTCCCTCTGCCTGTGTCTCTGCCCCTCTCTCTCTTTCTCTCTAAATAAATAAATCTTTTTAAAAAGTTTTTATTAATTCATTTTAGAGCAAGAGAGAGAGCACAAGCTTAGGGAGGAGGAGAGGGAGCAGACCCTCCACTGAGCTGGGAGCCCGATGCAGGGATGAGGTACGAGATCCCAGGCTCCTGAGATCACAACCTGAGCCAGACACTTAACCCTCTGAGCCACCCAGATGCCCTGAGTTTTGTATTTTAAATGTGGCTTTTCAATATGTTGGAATCCCAGGGCAGTTTTTATGTCATTACAGCTCCAAAATCCCAGAGGTGATTGTTCACCTCCCCTGTGGAAAGCAATCTGGGAAGTCATTTTTCCCATTCCTTTTGGCGTCTAAAACAATCTTAGTTCAAACTTAGATTCTCACCTTTCCTTGACATTTTTTCTTTTGCCCTGATAGGGGAATAGGCTTCTCAGATCCCGTTCTGTTAATTTCCATTATTTCCCTTTGAAGGCCATAACTTCTACCCCCTGGTTCCTGTCACTCTGAATGTGAGTTGTTACTATAGTTTTGAATTCCTCCATACATACTGGGTGGGTTAGTAATGACAGCAGCTGCTGTCACTGCTTAAGAGGAAATGAGTTAAGCAGCCTAGCAGCTGCTGCCCAAGTCCCAGGCGTTGCTGTGGGTATCCTGGCAGTGCCCAGAGAGTGGGTGCTGCTTGCACCGAACCAGCATCAAAGGGCATTGGGGAGTGGGGCGGAATCCCTGGGTGGCTCAGTGGTTTAGCGCCTGCCTTCGGCCCAGGGTGTGATCCTGGAGTATTGGGATCGAGTCCCACGTCAGGCTCCCTGCACAGAGCCTGCTTCTCCCTCTGCCTATATCTCTGCCTCTCTGTGTGTGTCTCATGAATAAATAAAATCTTAAAACAAAACAAAGGGCATGAGGGGCAAAGTGGAGAAAGCTGGGATTTGAGCAGAAGCTGGAGTTCGGTGTGGCCTGTGCGTTCCTCTACGAGCAGACCCTCCCTTTTGAGCTGTACTCTGGAGGCAGCTGTGTTTGAATGGCTTAGACCAGTGCCCATCCCGTAGGACTTTAGGTGGGTTACACTGCGGACGGTGCCATTGTTTGACTGGACACAGCTCTTTCTGATTACTTGTTCCCTCCAGACACAGCCTCTGCTCATGGGCTGTGATCTCCTGATTAAGGCTGGTTTCAAAGCTGAATTAAGAAAGTGCTTAGTTTCCCCATCCAGAGAAAACTGCTTCTACGTTGAGGATTAAGACACCTGCCAATTGTTGAGCTTGGTTGGGGGCTAGTTACTGGGTTCTTCCATCAAGGTGCTTCCTTCTGTTTTCTACGATTCTGATTTTATCCAACTTCACTTCCACCTGCCCCTGGGTCATTGTTTTCCTGAACTTCCTATTCAGTGTGGTCCCAGGGAACCAGATGCAGCCAGGGCAGGGGCAGGCCCCCTGGTGACTGCTGTGTGTCCTCCTCTGGCTGACTGGGGCCTGAGGCCTGAGACCAGGGCTGTCCGCCTCCATCTAGGGCGGGACAGGTTCTGAAGTGAGCACACTGTGCCCACTGTCCCGGGACCTGGGGGGAAGCACCGTCTGGAAACACAGCCGCAGAGCCCTCAGGAGGCACATTTCTCATGTTGGCTGGGTTCTCTTCTGGGTTTCCTGCCCCCCACCCCCACCCCCAAGCCTTCTTGCTGTTTCCATTCTTCTGTGCACTTGGCTTTCATCCGCAGTAGCTGCTACAAGTAGAATGTGTGGACTCCTCCTGTAAGAGCTGGGCATTTTTATTCTAAGTAGCACCATAGAGGCGTCTGGGTGGCTCAGTGGTTGAGAGTCTGCCTTTGGCTCAGGTCCTGAGATCGAGCCCCACGTCCGGTCCCCGCAGGGAGCCTCCCTCTCCCTCTGCCTGTGTCTCTGCTTCTCTGCGTGTCTCTCATGAATAAATAACTCTTAAAAAAAACAAATTAAATAGCACCATGATAAATTTTGTTAAACATAAAAGAAAAAAAAAGCTTGGCCTCTTTAGCGCAGGCAAAGACCCGGAGTTAGCCTCTCTGGAGGAGGAGGGCAGCGGAAGGTGGTGCACGGAGGAGGGGACCCCCGCTAGGCCGCGCCTGAGGAAGGGGGGAGCCTGCCCCCGAGGTGCCCTGGCCGCGGGAACACCTGCGTCCCCTCAGGTGTTGGAGCAGCAGGAGGCCCCTGTAGCCGCCTCAGCGCCGCTGCCCCGACCCCTTCCTCACAGGCGGGGTTTGGCGCCCTCCTCCGGCCCAGCCTCGCTGCCTCGGCCGCCCTCTGCCACCTGCGTGTGGGCCTGGCTCCCTCTGGGCCGAGCTGGGTGGGAGGGGGGCGGCCAACCCTTACTCGTTCCAGAAGGCTCTGGAAGGTGTGTGGAAGGAAGACGTGAGCGAGGGAGACAGGGAGCAGGAAATAACAGGCCCAGCACCTGCCTGGGGTAGCAGGCCGGCCTTGGGCATGGGTGAGGAGGAGAGGAAGCGGCAGGGAAGACGCGGAATAACCTTGGAACCCCGGGCGGCTCTTTATGGCCTTCCCGTTGGAGCTGGTTCCCTCGGCAGGTCACCTCGTCACCTCCTCCCAGCCTCGCCCGCCCGATTCCAGTAAGGCCTTCCCTCCGCCCGCCCTCAGCCTCTCGCACTTCGCGGACGCCTGTCCCTAAGCAGAGCAGCTTGTTTCATTGGAGGTTCTGCCTCCAGCTAAGGTTATAGATGCCTTGAAATCTGGGGGTTTTATATTTTAGGAAGCATTTGACAGGAATGGGGAAAAAAACATTGCTCCAAAGTAATTGTTTTGTCCCCCCCCCCCCCCCCCCCCCCCCGTATCTAGCTGGGAGAGCTCAGGGGCAGAGTAATTACCCTCCTTGCAACGCCACGGCCTCTGTTTTCTTATCCGTGAAATTAGAGGGCTGGGTGCTCTGCTGTTTCCAGGGCTCCCATCCTGTGATTCAGTGCTCTGGACCCCAGCGCTTTGCTAATCCCGCCCGGTCCCGGGGTCCGGGTTCCATCCCCAAATCTGCCAGGTAATTGAGCTTTGCTCACTTACGGTCGAGGCCGGTTCTTGCTTCCCAGCTACGTGTCGGAGCTCCTGGGATCTGGGACCACATGTGTGAGTGTGTGTGGCGGTCCTGAGGAGACCCCCTGTGGCCTCTGCCTTGCCCGTACCCTCTGCCAAGAACTTCGAGGCACCCAGGGGCCCTGCCTTGGCCCTAAGTCTCCGTTCCAGTTCTGTATCTTGGTGTGTGCAGCTCATCCCTTCAAATGTAGGAGGGATTTCGAGGTGGAAGCGGACTGTGCCTGCCATCCAGGCATCTGGGAGGAAGGACAGTGCGAGGGACATGTGTTCCCCCAAGTGCTCCTTCTGTATCGCCTGCTTCGCAGGCCTTCCCTGGATAGAGTCGGGCCCCCTTGACTCTATCCTTGAGTGCATTTCCTTCTCTTGCACCTACTGCCTTGTATTGGCTTAAAAATGGCTTTGGTTAAATCCTTTATTGGGATCATAGAGACAGGTAGTAGGGACAGTTTTGCTTGTAGGCAGGTTTTTTGTTTTTGCTTTAGCATCTGAGATTCGTGGGTTTCTTAAAGACCAGGAGTGGCTCATTTTCTGTTTGGGAAGTTGTTTGTTCACATTTGTGTGCCCTGCCCTTTCTCCCCCCCAGCTCCCGTCTCCCTTCTCTCTGTCCAGTCAGGTGTGTTTCTTCTCTTTGTTTCTATTCCCAGCTGTTCCGTGAGTCAGCCAGGCCCAAAGATGGTGAGTAAAGAGCATTTTCAGAAGGAACCCTGCAGAAAGATAGTGGATCTGTGAGGATGCCTCCTGGCTGTGAAACAGAGATTTTAAGGACTGTGGATTGCGGTTAGGGCCCCTCTTAGTGGGATGGGAGGAAGAGGTACTGCTGTGATTCCCAGTACCCAGGTGGCACTGCCCGGACCTCCCTGCAGCCTCCGTGCCAGACTGCTAGGATGATCGTGGAGGAACCTGGCCGAGGCAAGAGTGCCCAAAGTTAAGAGCTGATACGGAAAGGCGGAGAAAGAAAAGGGGGCGGGGGAGTAGAGGGAGAGAGATTCAGTTCACTTGTGTCTTGGGCGAGATTAGGTTCTAAATCAGTATTATTAAAAGATAAATTGAGACATATTAAAAAGCTTTACGAATTTGAGCAAAAAATGGTTGGAATCTGGTAGCAGCAAATTTGGAAGTGGTTAAGAGTGCTCTGCCAACAGGAACCAGGGAAAGCCTGGTAAGCAAAGAAAAATTATTTAATCAGCTGTAGCTTGACGCCTGGTTGGCTGTTGGTGATGTGTTGTCGCTAGGGTTTGATTTTATAACCTTGAGGCTTAGAGATTTTTGCTTACCTAGGCCTAATGGCCTCATTGTTTAATTAACAGTATGCGAACTGAAGATTCAGGGTATAGTCAAAATTACCTTTGAAAATTACCTCGGGAAGGCACAGAGTTAGACATTGACGTATGATCGCTTGTTAAGTTTAATGGGGCCATTTCCCCTCCAGGGTGGGAGTGTCTGTGGAGTTCCATTTGTCCTGGGCCTAGGCTTAGGGGTCATGTTCTATGAAAAGTGTGTCTTTTAAAACACCAGGATCCTACCCTGAGAGGTGCTGATACCACGAGAGATGGCATACTTTTTACCTTGTTTCAACAACCCCTCCACTCAGGCTTGACTCGTCTAGTTGTGTGTGTGTGTGTGTGTGTGTGTGTGTGTGTGTGTGTGTGTGTAGCACGAACCAGTCACAGGATTCCACCTTTACTGTCCCCAGCACCTGGGCTTGGGGGGGTTGGGGGTGGAATCTCTTGACCCAGGAGGAATAATCCTAATATCTCTCGGTTCTGATTTACTGAAATGTTAATTTTGTGTTAAACTCAAGTCTCCAAATTCTCTGTTTTGTCCACAGGTTGCTTGTGGGGGCCCCTCGGGCGGTGGCCCTTCCGCTGCAGAGGGCCAACAGAACTGGAGGCTTGTACAGCTGTGACATCACCTCCCCAGGGCCTTGCACACGGATTGAATTTGACAACGACGGTGTGTTCTTCTGTCTTCACTGTGTCCCCTTGGCCAGCTCGCCTGTACCCCAATTTGCCCTTTCCACGAGGAAGGAAAGGGGATCCAAGCGTTTGTTCTTGAAGGAGGCCTCTTTTAATGACACGTCTTGACTGTTTCTGGTTTGCCCTGAAAACAGCTACTTTTTCAGTGATGTTGGGATCCGCACAGAATTGCTGCCTTTCCTGATGTTGCTTTCTGAACGGATGTGGTGTATTGATGTCGCCACCTAGTGATGGCTGAGGTCCTACAGGAGGTTGTTAAACTGAATTCAGAGCAGCGAAGAAAATCGGGCATAGCTTGTGCTTAGCTGCCAGAAGTTCTCACGTGCAAATATTTGCGAGAGAGACTCTTAAATATCCGATCTCTCAGAAGTGAGAGCTGACCGTCATGGATAATTTTGCCCAACCGGCTCAACTAGAGGCTTGTGTTGGGAGGGATCTATGCTGAGCAGAGCAGTTAGTGTACTGAGAAGCTTCCAAGCAAGCCAGATTTGACATATCTGGTCTAAGTAGATTTGCAGATTCACGTTTATGTTCGTCTCTTGCTTTTTCATCTTTTAGAAATAACACTTGTGTGATTTTTTTCCCTCTTCACTGAATAGAAAATGATATATGTTACTTGTGGGGAAACTTGTAAAAGATAACCAACCTATATAAGGGAAAAACCAAAAGCCCATGGGTAATCTAGACATAATCACTCTTCAACATTTTGGCTTCTCTCTATTTAAGGTTGTTTAGTTTTCACATTTTTGTAACGATTCAAGATTAAAAAAAAATCATGCCTGCCTTCTCATTGAGGAAGGCAAAAATTTGAATATAGGGTCATACAGTAGGTTCAGATTGCTGAAATGAACACATACATGATATTTATGGTTTCTCTCTTTTGGAGGGGAAGGGGGTAAAAACTAAATATATCGCTTTCCTTTTTCGGCATTGATAGAACAACATAAAGTGAGTCTGAGGCCTTGTCTTCCCATCTCCAAGAAAGAAAAGAATAATTCATGCTATTATGTAAATAACAAATTTGGGTCTGTAGAGAAGTATCCACTTCTTGTGGATGGCAACTGGAGTTTGGAAACTGGATTTTTACATCATTGTTTTAAGTCGCACTTGTGGGAAGGCTACTCCTGAGTCTTACAATTTTCAAATAGCTTTTTGTACTCAGGATCCTGGTTGTCAGAAAGAGCATGGGGCCATCAAGTAAAGCTATATATTTTATGTAAAGAATTTTAAGAAGATTCTTACTAGTAAGCACTTAAGCTATTTTCTTAAAAGGAGAAATAGTTTTTCTGGATTGAGTAATTGAATTTGCTGAGGAGCAAGACTTGGAATCTAGGCAGTTTAGAAACCATCTTGTATTTGTGTTCATCTTTTGCTTCATTGCCTGCTTCAGTCACTTTGAAGTCCTAGCTATGTGTATGTAACCTGTACTGCTTTCCACAGCTGACCCTTCATCAGAAAGCAAAGAAGATCAATGGATGGGGGTCACCGTGCAGAGCCAAGGTCCAGGGGGCAAAGTTGTGGTAAGTGTGGAGAAGCAGGCTCATTCCACAAGGTCGGAGTGCCTGTCATGTGCTAGCACCAGGCTGACAGCAGAAAACAAGATGGGCAGAGTCCTGCCCACACACAGGGGACATTCCAGAACACTCACTGCTTTAAAGCAGGAATTGATGTCAGGAAGAAATTGAGGCATTATTTTTTTCTGTGATTTCTAAAGATTTTTATTTATTTTCTTTAGAGAGAGTGTGTTCAAGTAGAGGGAGGGGCAGAGGGAAAAGGAGAGAGAGAATCTCAAATAGACTCCATGCTGAGTGAGTGTGGAGCCCGACGTGGGCCTCAATCTCACGATCCTGAGATCATGACCTAAGCTGAAATCAAGAGTCGGATGAATAGCCAGCTGAGCCAGCCAGGCGCCCCTCTGTGACTTCTGATACACTTTTTTTTTAAGACTTTATTTCTTCATGAGAGACACAGAGAGAGGCAGAGACATAGGCAGAGGGAGAAGCAGGCTCCCCGCGGAGAGCCCCTTGCGGGACTCAATCCCTGGACCCCAGGATCACGGCCTGAGCTGAAGGCAGATGTTCAACTGTTGAGCCACCAGACGTCCCTGATATATTTCTTTAGAATTTTCAGACGCAAGTTATTAATAAGCCTTCACTGAATACCCCTAAAGCACCAGATAGTCTTTAGAATGCATAACACAACTAGATGATGGTTTGTGTCCCAGGAACTATGTGGCTTTTTGAGTTATAAAAAATATGGGAATGGAAAGTAAGAGCAGGTAATTTAAAACTCTGGTTGGTTGTTCTCAACATCTTCAAATACCAGCAGTAGTGAAGGAAATACAAGCGGCAGTGAAGGAAAGGTTATCAGGTGGATTGCGGGAGGTGGCCTTCCAGGCTGGATTATGATGGTCTCTCTCTGTCTCTCTTTCAAAATCTGATTGCTATATCTATAGGATTTTGAAAAAAAATGAGAATTTTACCGAACCCTGAATTTTGATAGTTAAGGGATTACAGGAAATCAACTTGGATATCATGAAGTCTGATAGTCAGCCTATGGTACATGGAGGGAAACCATGAATACCTTGTAAATTATAGAGATTATTCCATCTTTTCTGGCAGTGTAATTCTCTCTGCCTTTTAAAATAAACTTAATCGGCATTTAGAGCATAAGTTAGTACTGGTTATAAGGAAATAGTTGTCTTTGTTTTAACTGTTGTTTGCTTGGTCCCTATGGAAATATGTCTGATTTCTGTCCTCTGGAATATAATTACATATTTTCATAAATATACTGATGTGAAAGCTTAATTAAGTTAAGAAAATAAAATAAGATGTTTCCCATTGTTGATGTGACAAGTAAAATTACACATAAATTGCCTGTGAATTACAGATTGACATCCAGTATTTGGACCGGAGCATTATTCTTCGGGTGAGAATGAGACCAAAGTCCTAGTTCTTATATGCTAGCCAGTGGTCTCCATATGCCACTTTGGGGAGCAGTTGCTGGTTTTGGATCCGGTCCCATTTAGAATTAATCTCTTTATTACAAATTGATAAAATGGTCCAATAATAAACATGAGGTTTATAGAAATGAATAGGCTACTCTACTCCATCTGTTTGCAGACATGTGCTCACCGATATGAAAAAAGGCAACATGTTAATACAAAGCAGGAATCCCGAGATATCTTTGGAAGGTGTTACGTCCTGAGTCAGAATCTCAGGATTGAGGATGACATGGATGGAGGAGACTGGAGTTTTTGCGATGGCCGATTGAGAGGCCATGAAAAATTTGGTTCTTGCCAGCAAGGAGTAGCAGCTACTTTTACTAAAGACTTCCATTACATTGTGTTTGGAGCCCCGGGCACTTATAACTGGAAAGGTATGACATGTATTTGTAGCAATGGAGATTAGAATGACTACATAATTTCTCTTCTATGTACCATGATTGAGTATATTTTAGGTTAAACCAAAATGTATTATAAGGCACTTGTATATGATAGAAGTAAGGTAGGATATTCTCTCAATTACATGATTTCAAAAACAGTAGTGTGAATGTATGTTTGAAGATAGTTTTCCCCTTTACCAGGAATTTACATTAATACACGTAGTTAACTTTTTTCTCTAAGAATATAATAATTAACATTTCCAGTTTTTTCTGTTTCCGCATTTTCTTGAGGCTGAAAGTTTTTTCGGTTTTAATGTTAGTAAACATTTTAAGGTAGTGATCTGAAAACAAAATAATTGAGCGGTGTCATATACAAGTAACGGTGTTTTGATACAGACATTTCTTTCATTATATATTATCTTAAAAGGCAGTAGTTTGCTAATAAAGCAAAAAAGAAGGGTAGATGACAAATCAGGGAATTTTGAGATGATAATTTTAGAAAATTTATAGGAAAGTTGTTTAATTAGGATTGTGATGTAGATAAAAGGAGACACTGGGAGGGAGAAGGACTCTCAATTTGACTGGGCAAATCTGGTCAGCTCCTGTAATAAAGTTTAACTTCTCTGAAGAAATGAGGCAGGCATAGAAAACCACTATGTTATCCAGGACAATTAATTTAACTCTAATGTATAATGAAGAGAAATGCATAGGATTTAGACATAAGACTTTTTTTTGTGAAATTTATTAAAATAAATGTTATAACATTTTTTTTTCCTTAAGAAAAACTTAGGAATATTTTCCCTTCTGCATCAGAAAAATCTCTCAAGTTTGAATTCCTATTAGAAATCATCTTTGAGGACACCTTCCACTTTCTGTCATCCATAGTAACCTTTGGGAGTAATTTCATTTGGCCTCTGCACCCCCAACTTAACAGTATTTGTCAGGTTATATTGACCTAATCAAAATAACACATTGAATTTAGATATAGTTTTATTGTAGCAAGAATAGATGCCATTTGGAGTAAAACAACAAAGACACCCACAGTTATGTATGTATATGTTTATGGGAAACATGTCTTACCTGCTTTATAAACCCTGACTTAAAATATTACCATTTTTAAAAGTCCCATAGTGGGCTTATTCTAGGAAATCTTCTCTTTTTACCTGTTAATTGTGAAAATTTTAGAGAGAAGGAATCTTCGTTAAAGTGATTTGGAAAAAGGATCACAACATTTTTACATTATAGTAAAGTAGATAAATTGATATAGGATTACAGAAAATGTAAAACACACCAGGCTCATATAATTCTTAGAAAGTTACTTTCTAGAAGTAGATTTAACTAAGTAAACGTTTCATTTGCCATCTGGTTTTATGGCATTTATAGAGAGAATTCCTAAAAATGCATGGGGCACTGGCATTTTTTTTTAATTACTAGAACAAATTTCTTTGTAAAAATTCACATGAACTTGATTTTTTTAACTTTAATAACCTCAAAAATCTTCTCTTTCCTTTGTCCTTTTTCCCTTTGTCTAGACTTTTCTTCCTGTCCTTATGGTGATAACGTGAGGCATGCTTATTAGGAAACATCTCTTTTATTTTATTCCATCTTCATGTGTTTTTTGTTTGTTTGTTTTTTTGCCATTTCATTTCTTTAGGCATTGTTCGTGTAGAGCAAAAGAATAACACTTTTTTTGACATGAACATCTTTGAAGATGGGCCTTATGAAGTTGGTGGAGAGACCGACCATGACGAAAGTCTAGTTCCTGTTCCCGCTAACAGTTACTTAGGTAGGATCGAGCGCAGCTGGCTTGCCCGCCTTTGCAGATGCCTCAGTGTGACACTGTCCTCCCAGGACCCTGGACTTCGAGGCTGAGAGTAGCCAGGCAGAGCCAGGGGCCTGTGGCTGCATTGGATTTAAGCTTTGGTGATCCCGAGGTCACCTGACTGATGCTTGGGACTGACCCTTCCCTTCTGACCTGCGCTCCCCTGAAGCAGGTGGAAACCTACCCTCTCCTAAAATTGTCCCGCAGGGAAGTCTGTCTCTCGAGCTGGTGTCAGCCCCTGTAACCTGAAACAGGCTGTTCCTGCAGCCCAGGAGGGAAAATAATGGATCTCAGCAGAAAGCTGAGCTGCCGCGTCTCTCCTGTTAGTGCTTCCTTCTAGAGATACTCTTAAGAGCTACATTTATGAAGTTACTCTGAAGTGGCAGGTCAAGACCTCCAGGTCCTTCCCTTGTGACTACTTCTCCAAGGGTCGGCCCTGCTTCTGGATTGGGGGCCCCATGTCACAGGGCCCCTGGCGGGTGGCACCATGGCTTTCCAGCTGAAGCTGAGTAGGACTGCTAGAGCAGCTTTGAGGACACCCAGATTGTGTCTAAGTGCCAATTCCCTAACTCCTAAGGCTCGTTTGCATTACTAATGGGTGTCCTAAATTATTCATGTGCATTATGGTAATTACACAAAGGCTTTTAAAAGCTTTAATTCTTGGTATGAGTTGACATAAAGAATAATTATTGTGCATTTCTTGGAAAAAAATGTAAAAAATCTCCTAATCCTAAATAGTAACCTATTTTTTTTTTGAAAGTATCCCTATGCTAGAGATGTTACTGGAACAGTGGAAGGTGAAAGTAAAAACGTAAGAATAATTCTAAACAATGTGTTAGGAAGCATATTCTTAAACTGTTCTAATTATATAGATATGCATGAACGGTACTGTTAATTAAAAAAAAAAGCCTTACAGACACTCCCCCTTCCCTCCAAATTAAACATTTGGTTGAAGGAATAGAAGAGGGCAAAGAAAAGTTAAACTTACCACTTAAGTGCCAACTATATGCCGTATTTACTGCTATACAGGTGTTACTTGATTTTCCCATCAATATTATACAATAAATATGATTGTCCCTCTTTTGCTGATTGAAAAAAAGTGTGACCTAGGGAGATTAATTTTGTAGTCCAAGGTCCCACATTTGCTGATCCCTCAGCCAAGGAAAGAAAGGCTGGTGACTAAGAGGCAGAGAGGGAAGCAGCTGGGTGTGTGAGTGCCAGCGAGGTCGGTGGCTTTGCAGGACGGAGATGGGACACAGACACCAGCAGTTTGCAGTCTCGGTTATTAAATATGATTTTTCAGGGTAAATATCATCAACAAACCTGGATCTTATTTGAATATGTTTTACTAGGCAGCCTCCCATCAAATGTGGTACTTAGGGATTATTTATGATCAGAAGTAATTTTAAATTACAATTTAACAGTCAAGAAACCTGGTCACGGGTTTCCAGTCAGGAAACCAGCACTTCGGTCTTTAAGATAGATGCCCTTGGATTTTTAGAAACATAGTTGCTCCTAGAGCATTCGAAAAGACTTGGCATATTTTATTAAACACGTTTGCCACTTTGAAGAATGAATTCCTCAAAAGTGGATGCCTGGAGGGGGGGGACACAGTCAAGTTTGTATTGTTACGTTTTTGTTGTCCATGCTGTCTGTACATCTGTCATTTCAAAAAATCAGTGGTTTGAGGAATAAAATGATCTGCTTGAGGTTTTAGAAGCTGGCAAAAAAGGGTGGCTTGCCAGATGTGGCGGCAGCCTCGTCGTCCAGCGGGAGCAGCAGTAGCTGCTGTGCCTCTTACGAAGCATAATTGCTTTCTCTTCAATCTCTTCCGTTCCATGCATGTGTCTAGGCCTGCTGTTTTTGACCAGCGTTTCCTATACAGATCCTGATCAGTTTGTTTATAAAACACAGCCTCCCAGGGAGCAGCCCAACACATCCCCTGATGTGATGATGAATAGCTACCTAGGTTTGTGACCTCTGAGATGACAAATAAATTGTCTTGGTCATGGTCATTAAAAAAAATTTTTTTTGATCCATACAGAGCATAAATCTTTTTATTTTCTATTTCATTTCAAGTGAAGCACACATGAAAAGCATGCCATGCTTGAGGCTCTGCTGCCCAGATGGTTTTCAGAGCTGGATTTGATTATATCACCCTGTTCTAAACTTGGAGCTCATCATATTTTTCAACTCACTTCAGTTTGAGAACCGTAACAGTAGTGGTGAAGCTTTTTATAAATCACAATAAAAAGGGTGAGCCTGTATCTGCCTCACCTTAATACAGCAAGATTTGCTTAATTTGAGTGGTTTTGACATAGACGTTTATCTTCACTTGCTACCGGACCTCACTTAGTCTGTTATCTGACATCCTACCTGATGATTTGTGATTAGGAGTCTAGCATTTTCTACCCTCTGAACAAGTATGTAATTGTCACCAGTGACAACTAGCTCACCTCTATTGTTCATACTAGGTTCTCAAATACTGTATCTCTCACCAATCATGGTCTTGTTTGCATGTTTGTGTCTGAGAATTAAATTGGTCCACAATATTGAAATGCTGCCTTGTGGTATATGAATGATGCTAGCGTTTGTTCCTGCCTGATTACTAAGGAGATTGATGAATATGGAGGTTATTAACCATTACATTATAGCAGAACCCTATAGCATGCACCCAGGTATGTTGTGTCTGGTTGTATCCCTCTGTATACTTCCCCGTGATAATTTAGTATCTAGCTTGATCTCTTTTTACCACAGTCCCAGTATTAAAATGGATTGCAAACAGCTTCTTAAGATGCACGAATGCTTCGTGATTCATTTTACACGTATGCCAAGTAGCATGGGTGCATTCATTTAAAAGTCTTAATATATTTCCATAGAAAGCAATGAACTAGCCTACTACTTTGTACTTAGGTCAAACCTCTTAGCTCTGTAGCTCTTTCATGTTGTAAATCTGATCGCTGGGAGAGAGGCCCAGAAAGTAAGGGGTGGGAGGCCGGAGGAAAAGGCAGCGAGGGGGTTACCAGTGTTAGATACCTCCTGAAATATAGGGTGATGTGAACTGTTATTTTGTTTTTTTTCTAGGCTTTTCTTTGGACTCAGGAAAAGGTATTGTCTCTAAAGATGAGATCACTTTCGTGTCTGGTGCTCCAAGAGCCAATCACAGTGGAGCTGTGGTTTTGCTAAAAAGAGACATGAAGTCTGCACATCTTCTCCCTGAGTACATTTTTGACGGGGAAGGTCTGGCTTCATCATTTGGTTATGACGTGGCAGTGGCGGACCTTAACAAAGATGGGTAAGAGCGTCTTAGGTTATTTTACCTTTGCCAAGAAACCGTTGGTTCTTTGGCTTTTATAGGTGTTGAGAAGAGCCATCCTTTCAGGTTAGTTGATTCAAAGAATATTTTTGCTGCCAGATTTTTACCATCTTGCCACAACATCTTTATCACTTGTATTTTGGCAGCATTCATTACCCTCCCCAGGTAATTTAAAATTTCAGTTTTCAGTTTTTACTTATGTTTTGGAATCATGGGTCTGTGAGAATTAAAATTTTGGGGGGAAAATCACTCAAAAAATGACACCCACGTGGTTCTTCTGTGGCTTAGGGAGCTGTTGGAGCATCCAGAATGTCCTTTTGAAAATAGGGATGGGTGACAAAGTAATATTTATGTCTGGTGGTGCCAGCTTGGGTGGCGGGGGAGTGTAGAGTCTGTGCACTCTTGTTCTAACTTGAGGATTGTCTCAAGGTTCTTACCTTTGATGATGTTCTATGGGAATTTATTGTAGGCTCCTGTGCAAAATGTCTTACCTGAACAAAACATAAACACTTACGTGCCTAAACATTACAGTATCTAAACATTTCATAACCGTACCTAAAAAAACGTTTTAATTGATGAGAAATCAATATCAGATTTGAGGTCCTTCCTACATCCTGTCTCTGTGTTCTTAGTACCTGGGATGGTGTTATTCTTTGTGAGCTCACTGGTATTTTAGCTGATGGTTCACTCATCCCTCATTATGTTTTTAGGTGGCAGGATATAGTTATTGGAGCCCCACAGTATTTTGATAGAGATGGAGAAGTTGGAGGAGCTGTGTATGTTTACATTAACCAGCAAGGGAGGTGGAATAATGTCAAGCCAATTCGTCTTAATGGAACCAAAGATTCCATGTTTGGCATTGCAGTAAAAAATATTGGTGATATTAATCAAGATGGCTACCCAGGTAGGTAATAGACTGTGAAATAGTTATGATGCTCCTAGATGGATTATTTGATCATCTAAAATAATTCTGTCACATCTTATTTTGAGTCATCATATTGGAACATTTTTAAAATGTAGTGTTTGTTGAAATGTGATGTTGTCAACAGATATTGCAGTTGGAGCTCCTTACGATGATATGGGGAAGGTTTTTATCTATCATGGATCCCCGAATGGCATAAACACCAAGCCAACACAGGTAACCAGACAGCCTGGATTTCTACAATAAGGGCCTCCGCTTTTTGCCTTCTAGTAGGATATTTGGGTTTGTGTGCATTTTCACACTACTCGTGTTTTATCTACGAATAGTATGAACTTTGTGGGGCTTTTAAAAATGTATTATTAGAAGATAGCTTGGAGAGAGATTTAAAATAAGCACATCATTGCATTTATTTGTCCAATTTCTTAGATAAACTAGGAATCAAAGTAATCCAAAGGAAAAGACAGTTTTACCCAGATAGCATAAATAGATGGAAATGTGAGATCTTTCCTTTAGTAGCATACTACCTGGAGGTAAAATGGGGCAAATGAAGTAGATGGTTGTGATTACATGGAGAATTGAGACTCCAAAAATTAAAAATTGCTCTTGAGAAAAATAAGATATTTGGAGGGCAGGTAAAGAAGCTCATCAAAAATCGGCTCTTTGATCCTTTGAGATATAATGTAAAGCAGATGACTTCTATGGAATAAAATGTATGAAGTGTTGGAGCACATATATACTTATAATTTATTTATCATTTAGTATAATATATAAGTGAACTCTTGACCTGCAGTTTGCAAGAACACATGTGGCTTCTTCAAAGCAGAGAAGAGCTCATTGTGGTATAGAGGAGTGCATTGTGGTAGCCCACTGATCATTCTCATGCCCTGTTTGTTTCAGATCCTTGAGGGTAAATCCCCTTATTTTGGATATTCAATTGCTGGAAATATGGACCTTGATAGAAATTCCTACCCTGATGTCGCTGTTGGCTCTCTCTCAGATTCAGTAACCGTGTTCAGGTATGTGATTGCCAACTTCAGTTTGAGTATGTTCAGTATTCAGGTTCTCCTCAGATTTTGACCTTTTAATTGAAGATAATAATACCTATATCTCAAGTCAAAGGCTTATGGATTTTGAAGATTTTCTTTCAACAGTGGCATAACGATGTGATAAAAACCTATTTTGTAATACCCTACTAATTTTGAATTGAGAAGAAAGTCACAACTGGTGAAAAATTTTTGCTTCATAGGTACTTTTAAAACCTTATATTTTGATTAAAAGATGAAACATAAAATTTGACAGTACAGAGAAAATAAGAACGGAAGTAAGAATCCCTTTTAACTATCTGTTATTAATAAACTCCAAAATTTTGGTTTCTAAGTCTTTTGTGTTCTGTGAATGTTCGTGAATATTTAACAAAACAGCTAGTAATGTACATATTGTTTTGCAATCTGCTTTTGTCAGTTTGTAATACCCAGTGCATTTTCTCAATGTCAGTGAGTTTATAGCGCATGGGGGGCTCTCCCCCTGCCGTTGAGCACTTTTCTGAGATGAAGTTAATGGCCACTTGTAAAGTGTCACAGGGTTAGGTCTAGTTTATTTAACAGTTGCCATGCTGTTGGATATTTATGCTGCTTTCTAGGTTTGTGGTTTTTCATGATACACAGGCTGGTAAACATCCTTGCCTTTGTGCATGTCCTGAATTATTTCCTCATGATAAATTCCTTAAAGGTAAATTTGCTGAGTGGGAGCTCATTTAGGTTTTCAGACTTTAGATTCAGATTCACCAAAATGACCTCCAGAAAGGCCGTATGGGTTTGCCTGTGAGCTTTGCCAGAGTCCTCTTTTTCCTAGTGGTCTCATCACTGCTGGGGACCACCATTAAAAGTCATTTATTTCATTTTTAATTTTAAAAGTAGCACATTCTTGTAAAAAAAAAAAAAGTTAATACATAACTTCAGAAATTGCAAGTTCCCCAATATTCCCATCTTCCACAAAATAACTTTGGATAATTTTGGGTATCTTTCTGCTTCTAGGGCATCATCTGAGGGCCATTTTCAACTCCTGTTCTCTAATCTGGTTCTTAAAAACCTAATCTCTTTTGATTCTTAAAAATCTAATCTTGTCAGTATAGACACATCCATCTTATTTTTTTTAACAAGTTAATATTATTTCATTCTATGCATTTAATTTTCAGTTGATGGAATTATTAGTCTCTGACCTGTAGCTAATATAGTGTGCTACAGTATATTATATATCTCTATGTAATAGGGTGGTGGTTTTTTCCTTAAGAAAAATTTCTGGAAATAGCATCTCTAGGATAAAAGTTAGCACATTTTTTTGTATTAATACATATATCTGCAGAGGGATTGTGACAGTTTACGTTCGTGGCAGCAAGCTCTGAGAAGCCTGGTTTCTCACACCTATAATAGGATTGAACATGATGAATCTATTTGATTTTTGCCCATGTGCTATGTAATCTCATCTTTTGGCTAAATTTGCATTTCTTGGATTGTTAGACCATTTGGGTTTTTCTTTCTTTTTTAACTATTTTACTTTATAGCTATTTTTCTTAAAGACATTTTATTTTTTAAAATATTTTATTTATTTGATAGCACAAGCAGGGGGAGTGGCAGAGGGAGAAGGAGAAGCAGCAGGCTCTCCACCGATCAGGGAGCCCAATGTGGGGCTTGCTCCCAGGACCCTGGGATCATGATCTGAGCCGAAGGCAGACTCTTAACCGACTAAGCCACCCAGGAACCCCTTTAAAGATGTTTCAAATGGGTGTTAATGTACAGTGAAACCCTAAAGGAAAAAAAACCCATCATTATCCTGTAGACTTCGAGAAAAGTGTCAGGTAGAGATGTAGTCTCAGTATCTAAAATATAATCCTAAGCAAAACCTCTGGGGGTAAGAAACTGATGTCAAGAAGATGCTTCTGAAAAGACTATAAAAATATAGAATATAGTATATGTATATAGAATATCATAGAAAAATAGTTTTCTGATGGCAAGATCTGTGAAAGCCTTTCACGTGAAAACGAAGAACCACCACAGAAGTTACAGATAGCAGGAGTAGGAGACCTGAAAAGAAGTGGAGAAGAATGTATCTGAGATGTTAGTGAGGACAAAGAAAGTTAAAAGGAAAAAAAATTAAATGAACGTGTGTACGTGATTGAGAAAAGCGAAGCCTTGGAGAAAACATAAATAGACCAGCAGTGGTTTGTGTTGTGGTGATACATATCTGTCCTAGGAACCCAGGGGCCACCTAAGCTGTCACACTGGGGAGTGTGTGGTTCTGTGTGCCCTCTGAGGTTAAAGCATTTGGCCTCTAGTCTGTCCACTGGTTCTCAAACACTGCCTTTATATTATGCCTGTTTCTCTTTGTTCATATAGGTATTTATCTTAAAATATTCAATGTTTTTTATTTTTTAAACATTTTTTTAGAGAGAGAGAGAGCGCGCGTGTACATAAGCAGGAGGGGCGCAGTGGGGAGGGCAAAGGAATCTTTAAGCAGACTTCATGCTTAGCGTGGAGCCTGACACAGGGCTTGATCCCACAACCCTGAGATCACGACTGGAGCCAAAACGAAGAGTCAGATGCTTGACAGATTGCGGCACCCAGGCACCCCTTAAAATATTCAATGTTTTTAAAAGGTGGAAAGTATGTAACATGCAGCTATGTGTGCATCAAAATGCAGTGTGCACTTCTAGTTGAGGTATAGCCCTCAGGCATCAAGACGCCTTGAGTTCCTATACCAAAATTTGGTTACCAAGTTTTCTCAGCACATAACCTATTTTTAGTTAAATATTTGCCACTGAATATAGCTGGCATGTATTAAAGTATTCATGTCCTAATAAGTAGGCTGACTATGAACCCTATGAACTTGTTCCTTCTTTGCTCAAACATAGCACAAAAGTAAATTTTAACATCTTTTCATATAAATAGGAGAACTTAGTTCCCTTATTTTCCAAATGGAGAACTGGAAGCCCAGAACTGCTTAAGCTTGAGGCTGGATCCTGGGAGCCTAGGATCACAACATCTATGCATTTTTCCCCCTGAAATCATAATAGTACATCAAGGTAGTTTATAAATAAATGCCAAACAAACGAGAGGTAGCTGAACCAGAAAGATTTACTTCATGTGTTAAGGCACAATTTTCCTGATTCATCATGTGTTGTGCATTCAAATTTTGTATATATTGTTGTGTTTAAAAATTGGGGGGGGGCACCTGGCTAGCTCGGTCGGAAGAGCATGCAACACTTGATCTCAAGGTCTTGAGTTTGAATCCTAGGATGGGTATAGAGTTTACTTAAAAAAAAAAAAGTAAAAATAATTTTAAATAAAAAACAGAAATAAAAATGTTTTAGGCAGAACTGTGTTAAAATATTTCCTTCTGATATTTATGTCACGTCAGGGCCTTAATACTATGATCTGTAAAACACTGTTGCTTCTGTAGCGATTGGATTTTCAATATTTGGATTTTTCCCTCTTAAAATATGCTTTCAAAACTTTAATTAGGAATATCTGGTTAGTATCTTAGAAAACTAACAGCTATCTAAAATAATAATAGAAAAGTCAACAGTTGAGGTAAAAAGAAATTTATAAACAGGAATGTGGGGACAGGATTTGTCCTTTTATAGACTCCCACTTTGCCCATGAATATACTCAGGTCTTCTCTAGCCTACCGACAGATTGATTCCAGAAGTTCCAGCTTGCCATTTGGGATTTGGAATGCATTATCCTATCAAATACTCTTCCGCAGGATGTCTGGTTTACCAGAAGCCCAGGAAAGTCAGTCTAACTGGATCCGTGTGGTAATGAGACCATGGATCCCATTCTGCGTTCTGGCTGGGGAGTGATGGAGATGAGCGGGGCCTACCTCCCCCATCCCACTTGCACCATATACTTGGATTTTGTGGCAGAGGTCAGAAATAGGCTGGTGGTGTTGACCCCTTTGGCTGTGGGAGGTAGGGGAGAAGATGTAAGCGACAGCAAGATGTTTTTATATGGTGAGAAGGGCCAAAGGTATGGGATTCCAGCTGCTTGAGTGTGTTTGTGAGGCTGGGGTTAGGCAGAGGAGAGATGGGAAAGGCTAAAGGCTTGAATTTTTGCTTATGGAGCTACCGTGGGGGTAGAAAAGTTGTAGCCCATTCTGGTGGCAGAAGAACAAAGACTTAAGGCTGGGGATGGGAGGTTCCAAGGAAGCGCAAACGTTTGTAGGATGGAGACCTGTCAGCTTGGGATTGCCTGTATTACTACAATTCATGTATATGTAGAAACCCTGATAGTGAGCATCTCGGGGACGAGGTGTATGTGGGTTTTGAGTCTTTTAAAAGGGGGGGAGGGTATTTTGGCAAGATTGCTCATAAGTAATTAAACACGCACATACTCTTCGACTGAGGAATTCTGCTAGGAGTTCATCCTATAGCGGAATTCAAACATGTGCCTAGAAACATGTACAAGAAGGATGTTTGTCAGAGCTACAAGCCTAAACGCAGCGTAAATGTCTACTCATATGAGGGGCTGGTTAAATCTGTGATGATGTGTGGGTGCAGAGCAGCACCACCAGCTTTGAGAAACCAGGAACTAGATCTGTGGATAGGCAGAAGGCTGCTGAAATGTTAGAAGAGTAGCACTGATAGTGTCTGGAAGGACATACCAGGCCACTTGGAGGCTTGGGTGGGGGCAGAGCCATATGATTTGCCTGAAAGCTCTAGGACCTTTACAAATTTTACACGTGTTCCTTTCTATTGAAAAACTCTCATGTTAAAATTAGAGATCATTTTATAATTATAAATGAATGTTATATTTAAAAACCTTTGGTAAAAACGATATAATCAAGTTTTAAATGATACCTGCTAACAATTTCTTTGGCAATAGGGGAACGATTTCCTCCCCCTGTGGTAAATTTTTAAGATGTAGTAGGCAGCTGATAGTATATGAATTCATTTCCCACTCAAGGTAGCCAAAGGCTGAGCCTGTGTTTTACTCCTTTGTTTTTAGGTCCCGGCCTGTGATTAATATTCAGAAAACGGTCACCATAACACCTGACACGATTGACCTCCGCCAGAAAACGTTATGTGGGGCGCCTAGCGGGATATGGTGAGAGCTTCCACCGTATGCATGTAACGCCCTCAGCTTCGTACTTCTGCTTTATGATGATCCTGTTGCTCTAAGGAGCCACAGACATCAGTAAGACAGAAATGGACAAGGGGACAGGGACTCGGTCAAGTGAACATAAAACCTTTTACTGCGCACTCCGTGGGCAGTGCGGGGACTTCAGAGCTGGGGACCATGGTGTGGTTTGTTTTTTGTTTTGTTTTCTCCTACCGCAGTCATGCATTCTTTAAAGAATATGTGTTTGATTTTATACAGCCTCAAGGTGAAGGCCTGTTTTGAATACACTGCCAAACCCACAGGTTACAATCCTTCGATATGTAAGTACCTAGTACATTTTAAAAATGATATATATGTTCTGTCTGCCATGTTGAAAGTTCTGCATATGTAACAGAAAAAAATAAAACTGCACTGGCCAAACTGGGTTCACAAAGTCTTGTTTAAGGAATTCCTTGCATCTGTCATTTTCTCTTTAATCAGGAGGGTGAAGCCCATGAGGGGATAACTCTCCATTTGGTCCTCATTTGAATTTTCCAGAGCGGATGGTTTAGGACAGCATGCCTTGGAAAAGTACTCATTTGCTACCACAACCGTTTCCTCCATTTCTGCCTTTGAAGAGCAACGTGGAAAATTGGTTTTGTGGTTGTGAGGTGGTGGGTGGTGGTTGTAGAAGAGTGAGTGCCGGAGCCTAAGCATTATGCAGAATTGTTGGCTTAGTGTCTCTTCGTTCCCTGGTCCCCTCCCGGAGGCCTCCCTGGCCTAGAACACCCACGGTGTGTCCCTGCATGCAGGCTCCTGCGGGACTGGAAGGCTGGTCTTGAGAAATCAGAGCCTTGGGCTCTGCTCTCGGTTGCAGCTCCGAGGCTGGTTGACCCTGTAGTGCTGAGCAAACCTCAACATTTGAGTTTTCATTTTACCAGTAATAAAAATGCCTCTAATCGGAATTGCTGCATAGGATTGTGGTGGGGAGAGCAAAGGAGATATTTTGGCTAAAGCCATCTATCATTTATAAGGTATTATTCTGCTTCCTTTTCTTTATTGTCCAAACAGGATCTTATTTTATTTTTTTATTTTAAGATTTTATTTATTCATGAGACACAGGCAGAGACATAGGCAGAAGGAGAAGCAGGCTCCCTGTGGGGAGCCCGATGTGGGACTCGATCCCAGGACCCCGGGATCACGACCTGAGCAAATGAGAAACACTGAGCCACATACATGTCCCCAAACAGGATTTTTTGCTGCACATTTAGACAAGGCTAACGACACCCTAGCAGTAGTGATCACCGCCAAAGCCTTCTGTGGTAGGTTTTAGTAATAGCCATATGTTTTCAGGTATAAGCTACTTGCTCTAGCTCCAGAGTGCAGATGGCGACAAGGGAATTTAAAGAAAAGCTTTCCCTCAAAGAGCAAGGTGATCTGCATCCTGGGTCAGGCGATCGTCCCAGCAGCCCGGTATGATGGCATAGCGTGCCACCAAGGGAAGCTTTCTAGAGGGAGAGGGTGGTTTGCTGTTTTTACTTTCCCTTGAGGTAATGAGTTTTCTTAAGTTTCCTTCTTGTTATGTAAAGTATTACTCTGTTTTCTTTATTAAAAAGATATCTCTTCTAATATCCCAGAATTTGGCCAATAAATCTGTCTTCCCCCAGTTCACATTGTCACAGGCCCACTTTCCCATTCCAGGCCTCCATCTTTCCGTATTTGAAGCTGTCCTCAGGCAGCTGTCTCCTGCTTTAGCCTCTCTCCCAGGGATCTGCAGACCTCATGGGGAGCGTGCTTGGTGTTGCTGTATTGTGGTTTGTGCACAGGGTGGGGGTGGCCTTTCACTTGGCCTTTTGAGGTGGCCGGTATGTCACTGAGTATTGGAAACGATTCTTTGCATGACTTTCATGGAGAGGAAAGTGTCTCCTACAATTCCTCATGCTCTGTCATCCTGTTAGTTATTGTTTGTGTTGTTCCCACCCAAACGCCGATACCTTACCTTGCCTGTTTGGTTAACAGGCGTGTTTGACCACTGTGTTTGGAGTAGCCTGGAGAGACAAGAAGTTGTGATTCTTTGGCTAGATGAAGAGAGGAAATGGGGCAGTGTTTTTATTCTATTAGTCCTTTTCCTCACACCACTCTGACCATAGATGTGAGATCTCATCAGAGCATTCCTTGTCTTCCCCCATATCCATCAATCATTTCCCTAAAATTCCAAACTTTGTTCTGGCTTTTAATGCAGCATTTGGTATCCTGTGTATTAATTTCATATTCAATAACTACACCATTAACTAATTATTAATTCTATTAGCCAAGTATTTTACTGATGGCGTATTACGGATAGAACTTTTTTCTGTGAGGATGTTTAGAAGGGACCCTGCTTTTCGTTGCCTGTTCTTCCTCAGTATTGGGAAATTCTAAAATAAATAAAACTTCCAGGGATCCCTGGGTGGCTCAGGAGTTAAGCGTCTGCCTTCAGCTCAGGACCTGATGCTGGAGTCCCAGGATCGAGTCCCACATCAGGCTCCCTGCATTGAGCCTGCTTCTCCCTCTCCCTCTGCGTGTCTCTCCCTCTCTCTCTCTGTCTCCCATGAATAAATAAAATCTTTAAAAAACAAACAAACAAACAAAAAAAAACAAATCAAACTTCCACAAGGCTGCATAAGTTAATACAGCTAAAACCTGTTCCCAGTGTCTGAGAATGTGAGCTTATTGTTTGATCAGGCTATTTTAACTGAGTAGGCCTCAGATGGGGTGTTCCATACATACAGATATTTATAATTGAGCCTTAATGAGTATTCTACTTGGCTTGCCCCTCAAAAGGTCAGCAAAGGTGGCCTGCAAGGATTTTAAGATGATGTGAACTGTCTGGCGGGTTAGAGAAGGTTAGAGTGGGCTTGGTAGATAAACGGTTTTAATGCACCCACACCCTCCCCTACTTTTGCTATGAGGGGCACTCAGCATGTGAGCCTTCATCTGGTTCATTGTGAAGTTAACAGGTCATTGATAAATGGATGATGTCCGGGCCACAAGGCTAAAATGGAAGCACATTCCATTTGGCAGAAATTACTATCGAAACTGTCAGTGTTTCTAAATTTTGGACTTCTGTTATCTCCATCGCTATTGTTCCGGCAGATGAATAACGTCCTGTTCTTTGCGTGCGTGTCTGTATGTGCATTGGTGTGTATGCTGATGTGGTGCCAGTCACCCCCGCTTCCATTCATCTCTTCTAAAAATCCTATTTATACCGGGTGTTGTCCCGTTGCTGGAGACCGCAGTGGCCAGCAGACTGCTGTGGCCCCTGTCCACACTTCTGCCCGGGGAAGATGGCCAATCACAGCACAGTGGCTGATTGTAGAGACTGGGGAAACGGAATCCTGTCAGATCCCCCAGGAGAGGCCAGGAACGTCCTCCTGGAGGAAGTGATGTCCACATTGAGATCTGAAGGAGGAGCAGAGTTAGCCAGACAGTCTGGGGGAGGTGGAGTGAGCCCGGGCCAGCTGGCAGAGGACGATGGCGACTCAGGCAGAGGCCCGGGGGCAGTGGGAACCTGGACACCTAAGGGGCCTCATACAGCAGTTGTCTTGAGTGTTTGTGAGAGACTTCAAAGCTGACGCTGCCTCCGTCCCTCACTGTGTGATCCGGGCCAGTCACCTAGGTCTGTGGGCCTCCGTTTCTTCATTTGCAAGAAGAGGGTGTTAAAGTATAAATGTTCTTTGAGGCCTCTTCTGAACTCCCAACATGAATATTAAGAACATGGGTGGTTCATTTTCTGTGTTTTCTGGAAAAGATTTTTTTCCTTGAGGCCGCATTCTCTGGCCCTGTACACACTTTGGTTTGCTTCCCCTTCTGATGGTGAGTGAGTGACTGAGTAATGAATGAACGAAAATAATTTAAATATTGTCCCATAAAGAAACAGAGTAGCTACCTCCAGCAAACCAGCAAAGAATGCATTCTGAGGGATCCCTGGGTGGCGCAGTGGTTTGGCGCCTGCCTTTGGCCCAGGGCGCGATCCTGGAGACCCGGGATCGAATCCCACATCGGGCTCCCGGTGCATGGAGCCTGCTTCTCCCTCTGCCTGTGTCTCTGCCTCTCTCTCTGTGACTATCATAAATAAAAATTAAAAAAAAAAAAAAAAAAAAAAAAAGAATGCATTCTGAAGTTGAGAAATGAGATTTTGATCATCCAAATCCTGGCTTGCCTCCAAGCCCCGTTACTAGAGGTAATCAAGAACCGGATGTGCCTCCTAGGGCTTTGGAGGTTGGAAACTTTCATTGTGGGAGATACCACAGCAGACAAATGGGCCCTCTAGACTCCAGAGGAATAGGTTTTACCTTTTGGTTCTTTTTTTTTTTTTTTTAAGAATTTATTTATTCATGAGTGAGAGGGGTGGGGCAGAGACACAGGCAGAGGGAGAAGCAGGCTCCATGCAGGGAGCCCGACCTGGGATCCATCCGAGGTCTCCAGGATCACACCCTGGGCTGAAGGTGGCACTAAACCACTGTGCCACCGGGGCTGCCCCCTTTCAGTTCTTTTAAGTGAAAAGTCTCCTGTCGTCAAAAGACTTCTCTATCTCTAATATATATTACTCCCATTTTATATAACTGCTCTTTATCAGTGCTTTGTAAACTTTGATTTGTAAGAACCCCCCGATAATCCTGTTAAAATGCATGTTCTGCTTAAGTGGGTCCGGCTGGGGCTTGAGGTTCTGAACGCCCAGCAGACCCAAGGAGAAGCTGCTGTTGCTGAATATGCCCGTGAGGGGCCCTGCAAGGAACAGATGGGATGGGAATCTGCGGGCCTTTACGGGGTGGGGGATGGGGGGCATTATCTTTAGTTCTCCGAGTTCTTGAAGTTTAGCCAGAAATCCTTGGCTGCTGCTCAGAGATTTTGACTTATTCTCGAGCTCCCCCAGGTGGCCCAGTGGAAATTTAACTTCAAAAACTGTTAACAGCAGGGGGGCGGGAAAGGACGGCTTGATTTGAAACACCATAAATCAGTCAAAATGTACATTCTCGGGGAATATGAAGAGCCACACATGCAGTGGGAAAAGTATTCTGAACGAGGAATGAAAATAATGTGACAGGGCACTCACTGTACTTCTAGCTCAACTGTACGTAGATACACTTTAAGTTCGTGTGATCTTTGTCCATTTTATCTAGCAATTTTGGGCACACTGGAGGCTGAAAAGGAGAGAAGAAAATCTGGGCTGTCATCAAGAGTTCAGTTTCGAAACCAAGGCTCTGAGCCCCGGTACACTCAGGAGCTGACTCTGAACAGACAGAAGCAGAAGGCCTGCATGGAGGAAACCCTGTGGCTCCAGGTGAGGCCCGCGGACGTCAAGGCACTCGTTAGGACAGAAGTTGGGTGTTATGGTGGCACGTGTAGACTTCTGAAATTTATACCAGCAGCCTGTTATTATCCCGGACAAAAGGAAGCATTGTCTTCAGTTCCCCAGTAGCATTGGTACCATGCTTGACTCTGCATACTTTTCAGGAAAACATCAGAGATAAACTGCGTCCCATTCCCATAACTGCTTCAGTAGAGATCCAAGAGCCAAACACGCGAAGGAGAGTGAATTCGCTTCCAGAAATTCTTCCAATTCTGAATTCAAACGAACCCAAGACAGTTCACAGAGATGTAAGTCTTCCTGACTTTGGTATTGCCAGAGCTTTTGCCATATTACTAGGCTACATCACACGTCTTTGAAGGCAGTGGGACTAGGGATTTGCTTTTTAAAGTCCATTCTCTTGTATTAAATAGGCTTTCTAATATATGCAGAGTTTGTTTGAAATCTGTTTCCCAAATTAACCATGAATATAGAAACATATGAAATACAATTTGGAGCCCAGAGAGTGTTCTTTTTGATCATTTTTGGCCACCGCAACTTACTACTTACTCTCACATTAGGTTTCTCCTATGGCCATATATAGAAAGAAAAATAAATTGTATTTTACCATTGAGAACATTAATAGGTAGAAAATAAACTTGTTAGTCTGAACGCTAAAATCAAGGAAGATAAGGTTCAGCAAGGCAGAAAAGGATAAGCCATGAAATAGTTATTTAGTGGCTTTGTAGCCTATGTAATCTTAGGAAGACAATTCGTATTATATGGCTTGTTGTATGCCTCCTGTGAGGTGGGGCCTATTGGCTAGGGTTCAGGGGGAGCTGAGACACAAGAATAGGCTGGGGCACGGTGGCATCCTGATTTGGCATTGTCCGGCTCCTGAATCTGGTGGCCACCCCGATGAAGCCTTTCAGAAGTGAGTCCTTGCTGCTTTAGGCTTAGGAGATGGTGGCTCAGTCCACACACTGTGTCTTCATTGTCAACCAAGTGTAGTTCCTGATGCTTTTATATTCCTTTTCCATAGACTTTGGATGTTTGTGATTATCACATGAATATTTATGCACGTTCCTAGCTCTGTAGTTCTGTTGAACATAACAAGCAACGAGACAGCTTTCCCGCTTGTCAGTGTGATTATTCAGCGCCCATTGGCACTGTGCCGTTTGTTTTCCTGACCTTAAACTCCGTTTCCTCGTGTGTATGATGGAGCCCACAATAGTGTCCTCATACGTCTGTTGTGAGCATTAAGGGAGTAAAGCTGTGGGGCTTTGGGCAAGTCACTTAACCTTTCAGAGTCTAAATGTCCTCATTGGTAATACGGAGATACCACAAACCTACTTTATAGGGCTACTGTAAGAAGTACAGTAATAGGGGATCCCTGGGTGGCGCAGCGGTTTAGCGCCCGCCTTTGGCCCAGGGCGCGATTCTGGAGACCTGGGATCGAATCCCACGTCGGGCTCCCGGTGCATGGAGCCTGCTTCTCCCTCTGCTTGTGTCTCTGCCTCTCTCTCTCTATCTGTGTGACTGTCATAAATAAAAATTAAAAAAAAAAAGTTTAAAAAAAAGTACGGTAATAATAATGCTGCTACCCAAAGCCCATGGCCAAGTGGCAGAGCCAGGTTTGGAGTGTGGACCTGTGTGGCTGCCAGGCTCGTGCTTTTTCCTACACCTCAGTGGCCTGGTCAGTGTGTGTGTGTTTAAAGAGTCCTTTATTCCTGAGAGACACAGAGGGAGGCAGAGACACAGGCAGAGGGAGAAGCAGGCTCCCTGTGGGGAGCCCGACGTGGGACTCGATCCCAGGACCCCAGGATCATTCCCTGGGCCAAAAGCAGACACTGAACATACTGAGGGGCCCCCTCAGTGTGTGTTCTTAAAGCACCGCTCTGTTCAAGGACAGAGTTAGAAGACGGTTCAGTTAAAGGCCCTGGGTGCCAGGCAGGTACACTGGAAGCTTTTGGGGTAGTGAATGTCGCAAAGGGAAAGGGCTGTAGGGAAACGGCCAGTCACTGTTGCTGGTCCCATGGCATGCTTACGATGGTTTTGTTTCCCTACAGGTGCACTTCTTAAAAGAGGGATGCGGAGACGACAACATATGTAACAGCAACCTTAAACTGGAATATAAATTTTGTACCCGAGAAGGAAGTCAGGACAAATTTTCTTATTTACCAATGTAAGAATCGCGCTGCCATCCTAGCACGAATGACCGGCTTTGCAGTGGTCACTGGAAATGTACTGAGGATTTTGTCGCTTTTGTTTTATTTTTGTGTGTGTTATAGTCAAAAAGGTGTCCCAGAACTAGTTCTGAAAGACCAGAAGGACATTGCTTTAGAAATAACGGTGACAAACAGCCCTTCCAATCCAAGGGACCCCACGAAGGACGGAGATGACGCTCATGAAGCCAAACTCGTGGCAACCTTCCCGGACACTCTGACTTACTCGGCGTACAGAGAACTGAGGGCTTTCCCTGTAAGTGATTTTGGAGAGCAGCTAGGAGGGAAAACCCAGCACTGTGCGCAAGGGAACGCGTGGTGATTTCGTGTTTTTCTGTCACAGGAGAAGCAGCTGAGTTGTGTTGCCAACCAGAACGGCTCACAAGTGGACTGTGAGCTTGGAAATCCTTTTAAAAGAAATTCCAGCGTAGGTGACGCCTTCACATACTGTGCTGTGCCCTGTGTCATGCCATCACCGGGTCGACCTGCTTGGTCTGGGCTAACGTCTATTTCTGTCTTTTTTTTTTTTTTTAGGTGACTTTTTATTTGATTTTAAGTACAACTGAGGTCACCTTTGACACCACAGACCTGGATATTAATCTGAAGTTGGAAACGTAAGCCTTACTTCAACCTTTTCATTCAGAATTATTTCATGAAAACACAGCCAGTCCATGAATTGGCTCTGCTCTGACTCAAAAAAGAAGCGTAATTGTAATGAGGAAACTGTTAAAATGAAACCCTATTGTTTCCTTTTCATTTTCAGAACAAGCAATCAAGATAATTTGGCTTCAATTACAGCTACGGCAAAAGTGGTTATCGAACTGCTTTTATCGGTCTCAGGGTAAGTGTTTGTGTTTAGCATAACAAATCAGTGTTTAAAAGAACCATTTACAGTCCTCGCTAAAACTGGTGTTTTTTAATTTAACAGAGTTGCTAAACCTTCCCAGGTGTATTTTGGAGGTACAGTTGTCGGTGAGCAAGCTATGAAATCTGAAGATGAGGTGGGAAGTTTGATAGAGTATGAGTTCAGGGTAAGTTGCAGCAGTTGGTCTTTCTATTACATCTACCAACAGCGAACATACACTGCATGTGGTAATATGTGTAATACGTACTGTGATTTTGATAAATGTAGATAGGCAACTTCAATATGCGATATCAACATTAATAAATACTACAAAATAAGCATGATAAATGCTCAGTTAGAAGTGAGTTCACCGATTTTTTTAAGCCACATGCTGGCTTACAGTAAAAGTTCTGTCCTCCAGAATGGAGAACACAGCTGTCATTCAACATAGGACTTTGTTCAAAATCCAGATCCATTTGATGATTTTCTTATTAGAGAGTTTTATTTTTTTTATTTTTTTAGATTTTATTTATTTATTCATAGAGACACACACACAGAGAGAGAGAGAGAGAGAGAGAGAGAGAGAGAGAAAGGCAGAGTGACACAGGCAGAGGGAGAAGCAGGCTCCATACAGAGAGCCTGACATGGGACTCGATCCAGGGTTTCCAGGATCAGGCCCCGGGCTGCGGGCAGCGCTAAACCGCTGCACCACCCACCGGGGCTGCCCTATTAGAGAGTTTTAATGTCTAAGTGATGTAGGGACAAAGGAATACCCCACCCTTCCCCAGAGTCTGTCTGTAAAACAAAGAAAAAAATCTCAAAGTAATTTATATCTGGCTTTAGAAAGTGTTGGGATTTATTTCCTCCTCCGTTGTAAGGTGATCTCTCTTACTGTGTGTGGTTAATGTTCCCTCACATTTTATAAGCCCAGTGCCAGGGAGGAACTTGAATGATTGCTCTGAAGCATTTCTAAGCAAGAATCACAGTGACTCTGTTTGAACCTAAGTAAGTGCTTGGTACAGAGGCGGCTCATAACTCATCTGTGGATTTGGGTCTGCACGACTCCAAGCAGCCAAGAAAGCATAGTGACCATGGTTGAGGTGAAAGTCTGAGATGGCAAGAACGTGCCCACCCCTGACCCCAGCAGGATGAAGGGCCTGAGTTCTGCTCTGTGTGTCTCAGCATTACAGACACAGCTGTGACAGGTGCTGGTGGCGGTGGCGCTGACACCTGCACAGGTGTGGCTGAAAGAGGCACCCCTGGGTTCCAGAGCAGTCCAGCACCCCCGCCCCCCACACCCACACACACAGCTCCTACATTGTTCGGCTTTTTCTGCAGGAAGCTGCTCTGTTCCGGGCTTGGACTCATGATCCATGGGTGTCCTAATGGTTTTACTCCCGCTCTCAGCTGCTACCCAAGCTCCCCATAGCCACCCTTGTAGTAGAAGACAGGCAGTGTCATTTTTGCAGAAGGGGCTTCCCAGAGCAGGCTGTTGGTGCACCACCGTAGCAGAGGCTCTTGTCTGCCCTGCAGGGAGGTTCCAGAGCCACGCATGCACACTTGTGACCTCCCCGGAGCTGCGGATTCTGGTCTGTATGAACCAGCAGTTCCTGGGCTGTATGAACAGTGGTTTCTCTTACCTTTTCTAGGCCTGAATCTCTATTTCGGGCACCCTTATTTATCTGTAGGCCATTTTTGGAGCCTATACTTCTCATTGTAGGATTATGCCAGATATTTTGGCTTTTTTTCCTTGGCAACAGGAGCTGCTCCTTAATTTTATGAAAGAGTTACACTGAGATATAATACGTATTATTTTCTAACAGGTAATTAACTTGGGTAAACCTCTGAAAAACCTCGGCACAGCAACCTTGAATATCCAGTGGCCAAAAGAAATTAGCAATGGAAAATGGTTGCTCTATTTGGTGAAAGTCGAGTCCAAAGGATTGGAGAGGATAGCTTGTGAGCCACGGGGTGAGATAAACTTCCTGAAACTAAAGGTACGTTGCTTTACCCTGTGTCTCCATAGTGTAAATAAAGGAAGCTAACTTTTGTGAGAAAATCATTACTTTCCTTAGGAAGGCGACCGAGTGGCATGCCGGCTGCTGCTTTGGTGTCCGTTTCTCTTATAGTTGAATAAGGAGGTCAGGCTGAGGATTTCTGCTGATTCACTACCATTGGGGCACATTAGCCAGGGTGACTCGGTACTTGTGGAGGGAAATGACGTCTTCTGGAGCTTGAGGACCCAGTGTGACCTAGAAAGAGGACCGGGATGTGCTTCTGGGGTGATCCACTCAGTGTTAGCTCCCAGTAGAACCAAACTCATTGCAAAAGATACTGGCACCTCAGCTTTCATTCCTGATTTTTTTTTTTAAGATTTTATTTATTCATGAGAGACACAGAGAGGCAGAGACACAGGCAGAGGGAGAAGCAGGCTCCCTGCAGGGAGCCCCATGCGGGACTTGATCCCAGGACCCCAGGATCACGCCCTGAGCCGAAGGCAGATGCTCAACCCTGAGCCACCCAAGCGTCCTTCATTCCTAATTTCTAAAATAGTTATCCAGTATTGATGGTGTCTTGGGCACTGTGCCTTAAGCGTTTTATTTGCCTTTTCTCATTTCATTCTCTCGAGGTTTTTTTCTTACCCCTACCATTTCACAGAGAGAACATTGAGATTCAGAGAGATTAACGTGCTAAGAATCACACGGCAGTCAAGACAGATTTTGCATTCAGGCTCAGCCCTGCCTGTTTTCAAAGCCTCCATGCTTAACCGCTCTGTGCTGCTGCTGCACACTCCTATTACTGGTTTATCATTTAGGCTCCAGTTTGACCTGCTTTGTTATTGCATGTCTGTTTCTTTTTCTTAGTTTTTTTAAACCCTTGTGTTAAGGGCTGATTATGAACAGATTGCAGTGAGGGGACTACTGTGTTTAGGTTCCGAGGTGACTGGGCATGATCAGCATTCACAGTTGGTAGCTTATAGAAGGATCCTATGCTCATCAGCTTTGAGAAACAAGATAGTCCAGTATTAATTTTCCAAGGAAAATGCTATTGTACAACTTCTTATGCAGATTAGTTTTCAGTGCTCTACTTTGAATAAGTTACATACTTATCCTTTTGGCTTTTTTCTGTTCTTTAGTGTCATTTATTTATTCAAGATGTGCTGACTTTTTACCATGTGTCAGTTCTCGAGCTGGGTGCTAGGGATACAGGGATGAGATGTGATGCCTCGTCCCAGGATGCTCAGCTTAGTGAGGAGACAGAAGAACAAAGCAAGCCCTGTTTTTCTTCACCAGAGTTTTAAAGTCAGTGGGGGGCACCTGGGTGGCTCAGTGGTTTACCGCTGCCTTCAGCCCAGGGCCTGATCCTGGAGTCCTGGGATAGAGTCCCACGTCGGGCTCCCTGCATGGAGCCTGCTTCTCCCTCTGCCTGTGTCTCTGCCTCTCTGTGTCTCTCATGAATAAATAAGGAAGGCATTAAAAAAAAATATTTATGTGCTTTGGGTGACAGGAGATGGGTGAATGTTAATTGCTGATTGTGTGAATTTGGCATCACTTGGGAGGGAGTTCTCAGGAGGTCTGTGCAATAGTGACAAAGAATTACATTAAGTACTATTTTGGATATAATTTCTTTTCAGGAGTCTCACAACTCAAGAAGGAAACGGGAAATTGCTGAAAAACAGATAGAGGATAGCAGAAAGTTTTCCTTATTTGCTGAAAGAAAATATCAGACCCTTGTAAGTATTTTTCAATGGCTGTATTTGCCAGATGGCAGCAGGAAGGCCTTCCCCATACCGTTGGGTTTTGACTCTCACTGTCTTCTCCCCAGAACTGCAGCACGAATGTGCGCTGTGTGAACATAAGCTGCCCGCTGCGAGGGCTGGACAGCAAGGCCTCTGTTGTTCTGCGCTCGAGGTTATGGAACAGCACGTTTCTAGAGGTTTGGCCCTGCCCAAGGCTGTCCCCTGGAAGTCACTTGCTATTTCTGAGGACATTTCTCACTTCCTTAACCCACTTGCCAACTCTGTGTCCAAACAGGAATATTCCAAAATGAACTACTTGGACATTCTCGTGCGGGCTTCCATTGACGTAGCCGCCGCTGCCGAGAATATCAAGCTGCCGAATGCTGGCACTCAGGTGAGTGGTTCCTCAGCCTTCACGGAGTTCAGAGCACATCTCTCCTTTTCCACCCCATGCCCACAGCCTGAGGACGTGCTATCTTGGCACTCTGCCCCCTCACAACACCATTACCCCCATCAAGGAGAAGTCAGATGATTCTTTAAGGCACTTCCACTCCAAGCTGTATTTTAATAGAATCATTGGAAAAAGAACTACATCCAGGGTCCTTCCTCTAGTTCTGCAGTACTCACGGTAGATTTGAGGGCCACTGGCCCACTGAAAGAATGGGTGTGTCTCCCACCTTTATAGAAACCCCAGGTCTGGGCCTGGTGGCTCAGTGGTTTAGCGCTGCCTTTTGCCCAGGGTATGATCCTGGAGACCCAGGATTGAATCCCATGTCGGGCTTTCCCTGCTTGGAGCCTTCTTCTCCCTCTACCTGTGTCTCTGCCCCTGTCTCTCTGTCTCTCTCATGAATAAATAAATCTTAAAAAAAGAAACCCCAGGTCTCATACTGTCCCCAGTGACAGCAACCACCATGTTATGGAGTAGCTCATGGCATGGGTGGCCAGCTGTAGTTATCAGAAAAAGATCTCTTTGTATATGAATCCAGACTTGAGTCTTACAAAGTCAGTCCTTGGTTACGCCCCTTGGAACAAGCCCTTTGGAACATGTCTCTCTCTCTCTCTCTCTCTCTCTCTGCCACGTAGCAGTCTTTGGAATAACCGAAGGAAACTGGCATGCCCCTTGGGACAGGTCTCTCACTGTTCAGAGCAAAGCCTCCAGCTCTTCAGTTACCTGTCATGCCAGGCCCTCTCCTTCGTGGGCTGGCCCTAGTCAGGCGGTGTGACTCCTGGATGGGCAGTGTGGGTGTGTCCTCTGCCTCGTTCAGCACACCCTGAGGCCCTGACTCCCAACACTGTGGCTACTATTGGTCAGTCTAAAACTTGGCTTTTCAGTGTACATAGAAGATTCTGTTTGCACTTCTAGCAGCTACTGTTCTTATTTATACTTATACTTTCTTAACAGAAACTTCTAGCAGTTTCTGTTCTGTTGAAACTTCCAGGTGTTTTCAACAGAACATGTTATCAAGCTGTAGCTCCCATATTCCATTCATGAGAAATTTTTAAAAATCTAAATGCATGCTTTTATTTTTTTTATCTTTTAAAGATTTTATTTACTTATTCATTCATGAGAGACAGAGAGAGGCAGAGACACAGGCAGAGGGAGAAGCAGGCTCCATGCAGGGAGCCCGACGTGGGACCCGATCCCAGGTCTCCAGGATCACACCCTGGGCTGAAGGTGGCGCTAAACCACTAAGCCACCTGGACTGACCCTAAATGCATGCTTTTAAATGTATGCTCACGTTTCGTGTGATTTGCTTGTGGTCCATCGTTTCAGTTCACAAAGTAGTTCTGAGTCTCCACCATTGCCCCCTCTTAGCTTTCCATCCCTGCATGCTTTGTCCTTTTCAAAGCTGAGGAGCATGCCTTCTGTGTTCTCCTCCGGGCAACTGAGAAAGGTACTGAACAGAACTGGCAGCAGTGGCTGTGGGGGCACACTGGGAAGGGCTCCCTGTGGGGTGGAGCCCATGGAGGCTTGTATGTAGCGTGCTCTTGAGATAGAATGCATGTCATGGACCACAGTGTTTTGCAAAAAGAGACTGGATGGAGAAAGATTGTGAGCCTTGTCCCCAAGGTAATCTTAGGAAGTGCTTTGGCTTCAGTCCTGTGAGTAAGCTCAAAGTGCAGTGAGCCGCCCTGGGCCCTGGTTTCTGAATACAGTGACCCTTAGCTGTCACAGCCTTTCATCAGGGGCGCCTGGGTGGTTCAGTTGGTTAAGCGTCTGCCTTCAGCTTAGATCATGATCCCGGGGTCCTGGGATCGAGCCCATCAGGCTCCGTTGCTCAACAAGTCTGCTTCTCCCTCTCCCTCTGCCCACCCCCCTACCGCAACTGATTTTCTCAATCTCTCTCTCTCAAATAAATAAAATCTAAAAAAAAAAAAAAAAATTCTATCATCCAAACTAGAAGACATCTGTCTGAGGCATATGGTAAACTGGACAGGATGCTGGGACAAGGGTTATAAATCAGGACTGTTCCGGGCTCACCAGGACATGGTCCCCGGCCTTAGATTATCTTTGCATGCCCACTGTAGCCCACCTTTCTGCCTCTTACCAGTAAGGCGTCATAAGGGACTGTCAACTAAGCCAGAACCTCCGTGAGATCCCTTCTCTGCCCCTCTGACTGGAGGCAGCTGCTCTTGCTTTCTGTAACTTTAAATCAGTAACCGGGAGAATCATGGGAGTTTTTAGAGCTGGAAAAAGAACACACTTTAGAGGAAGGGGACAAACACTAATAATGCATTAATAAAATGTCCACAGTTTACTAGGCGTTTTATCTGTGTGCAGTCCCGTAAACCTCAGAAGGACAAGGTAGACACTGTACTCCTAAAAAAGGAAGCAGGCACAGCAGGGGGATGCCAGTTGGGGTCCTGAATTGAAACCTGGAAGACTGGTTGGTTTCAGGGCTCCTGTTCATTTTGGTTCTGTAATACGTACTCCCTGTCAAGTCCCCAGATCTCAAATACAGATGAGAAAACAATCCAAGGGAGGTTGTCTCTCCCTCAGGGTCACAGGGCCTGCAGGCATGTGGAGGAAGACCAGATGTTGGGCTCACACGCCCTCGTCAAGTGCTCTTCTTTCCTGGAAGGTGATGAAACCAGGGCGCTGGTACTCAGTCTTGTGGCTGGTCACACATGCAAGTCAAGTTCTCTTGGGCATTTCATGTGAGGGTGTGGAGAACTCGTGTATGCTAATGGAAATTGGAGTCTCTGCTGTGATCCTATTGGCTTGTTTGATACTTGGTAGATATATGAACGGATTCCTAGCTTATGTCTAGAATGCATTTCTTTTGAAAACGGGGACATTTTCTTACCTCTAGTCGTCTGGTACCTCTTCTACTGACTTGTGTTTTTGAGCGACAACAGCTCCAATGTCCTATCTACAGATTTCTTTAGCAATTTAAGGCACACTTTTTCTGGGCCTAAAGATTTGAGCTTAATTCAAGTGTCAGGATGCTTTTCCTTTTTTTTTCTCTCCCATATTATGGGTTTCAGTTTCATCTTTATCTTGGTGCATCTGTCCTTCCCGGCCTGAAGATCCATTTTCTTTGGAAACAGAAGCCGAAGAGGTGGGGGTAATTCAGTCTTGTCTTTCCATCTTCATATTAAAAGTTCTCCTTGCTTTTACTTTAATCCTGGCTTTAAGAAGAAAGAAGAAGAAGAAGAAGAGAAAAAAAAAAAAAACCTTTTAGTTGCCTTATAACCCAACCAATTTTAAGAGCTGTTTGTTTACTTCTCAATACAACACTTTTAACACATTGTTATAACACAGCTGGTCACCTAATTGAGCCAGAAAAAAGGGTTACATTTTAGCATCAGTTAAATCCATCCAGTTTACAAGCACTTATTAAGGATACACTGCCTTCCCTGCACAAATTTTAAGGAAGCGAAAGTTCAATAAGACACTGTGAACTGTTCAGAATTTCATGGTCTAGGGAATGGTGAACCAAGAGATAATTGTTGAATTGAGCAGAGGAAGGAAGAGATTGTTTATTGGGTGTATTTAGACAGCCCCCACTTCGTTCCTAAGAAGTTGGAAAAGAGTATCTGCTTCCTGGCTGCCAGACATAAAAGAAAAGGCACATGATTTTTCAGGGGAAGGTGATTTTTCAGCTTCTTTCTTCTTTCAGAGAATTTGAGATACGGATCCTTTTATAAGATGGGTTTCTGATATGTGGAACACTCACTAAGGGAATGAGGTCTTTAATAGAGAGTTTTGTGAAAGATAGGAAAATACCTTCGTGGAGTGATTTCTTGCGCTGATGTTCAGTAAGAGTAGAGGGTATTACGTTACAGAGTGATTTGGGGAAACCATTCTAGCTGTGAGTAAGTGAATGAGGTCTAAGCTCTGCTCACGCGTGATGGAATTTGATGTGTCAGCAGAGCTTAAGCCCCAATTCCCCTTCAGGGACACATAATGGATGAGGTTCACAGGCATAGGTCATCCCTATGGAAATGCCTGAATTTTAAAGAACCCACCCACCCACCCCGAAATTGTTTTTGGAGTTGGAGTAATTTCTACTCACCTTAACCTGTCTCTGTCTGTCAATAACAGCTGCTGTGGCAAGATGTGACCAGAGCTCTGGGAAGCTGGTCACAGTTGGTCACCCCCCACCCCCACCCCCTACCCGATTCCGAGGCTAGCTTCCCCTTTATTCCCAGTCCCCAGCTGGAGAACGACTATCCTGCAGAAACAACTTTAGCTGACAATTTAAGGAAACAAAATCTTGGCGGCTTGGCCTCATTCACCCTCCTGGACTGCAGTGTGGCCTTGCACACAGCCTGGATTTGCAGAGCACGTCAGCCCTTTAAAAGTGTGGCTCTGCCCCTGGCTTCAGTCCTGTCTTTGATGCCCAGTGAGTTGTTTTACAGTTTCTAAAAGACTCCAAAATCTGGAGGAAACGGTAGCCAGACTTGGGGCTAGACGTCTCAGCTGTATTTCTGTGTACACCCCACCCCCACCCAATCAAAAAATGACCTTGTGCAGCTCTCATACTGTCAGGCTGCTGCCATTTATAGAAGGGGCTTCCCCTTTTTATCAGCCATTTAAAAGGCTCCGGTACACGGTCTGTTGATGAGGCCAATTCCCCTGCCAGGGACCAGTCTTCACTCTCCACTTCCAGATTTATCAGAGCTTATATTCTTAAAAATAAGGATGGCCCTTCCAGGTTGTCCCCTTGCCCCTGGGGACGTACTGTATGCTCCCCATGCTAGATAGGGAAGCAGAGTGAAGTGACACAGCATAGGCTAATTACTTGTTTTGGTTCAGAGTAGGCAGGCCTACGGGTCACGGCATGTGCACTATTTTATCATGAGTCTCTCAACATTCTTTTAATTTTTATTTTTACTTATTTGAGAGAGCATGAGTGGGGTAAAGGGCAGAGGAAGAAGCAGACACCCCGCTGAGCAGGGAGCCAGATGGATACAGGGGACCCCCAGGATCGTGACCTGAGCTGAAGGCAGACGCGTAACGGACTGAACCACCCAGGCACCCCAAAGATTGATTTTGAGAGAGAGAGAGAATGAGTGGGGAGGAAGAGGCAGAGCGGAGCTTGGGGCTTGATGTGGGGCTTGATCCCAGGACTCTGAGATCATGACCTGAGCTGAAATCAAGAGTCAGACGCTTAACGGACTGAGCCCCTCAGGTGCCCTCTCCTCATGCTTGCTTCCCACCTCGTGGATGTGCCCCTGTGCTAGACCTAGTAGTCTCAAGAAAGGGTTGGTTTAGCTTAAAGCTGGGGTGCCTGTCAGGGGAAGGCAGGCAAGGGGAAGTGAACCATGAGGCCCCCCTGGGGGCTGGCTGACAGTTTGAGGGGAAACCTCACTGAAAGCACAACAGGAAACACAGTAGCTGATAAAGGTGTTACAGGCCGTGCCGTGGAGAACACTGACTTCTTTCTTCTTAAGTGTTCAGAAAAAGGCAGTTCTCTTGCTTTTAAAATACATTCTAGAAGTCAAATGAGGTTGAGAAGCTGTTTTCTAGTAGAAGTAGAAAGGGAAGTATTTTAGTGCAGAGACCCTTTTTTTATTGAAGTAGAGCAACATGGAAGCATTTTTAGGCAGCATCCGGGCTTCAGTACTAAGAGTACTTGACTGAAAACACTTCTCAGAACTTCAGTGCTCACACTTTTTGTTTACCTTTCACTTTACATTCTCTTACTTTAGAAATATCTGAAACTTCAAACTGGAAGCTCCCTAATCTGTTTACAAAATCATATTCAGAGCAATCATCAGGTCTTTACAAGCTTCGAAAAATAGTCTCCTGGCATCACGGAAATCCACTTGAATTCTAAATGCACGTAACCAAGTTATTGCAAATTGCCATAAACAACTTTTTAGATTTCTGAGTAAACACTACTTCTGTTTAATTAGTATGTGCTAACTATCAAATATTTAGAGCTTAGGTTTTTCATTAGCTGCTGCTTTCAGCTCTGCAGCACCTCTGAACAAATTGAGCGTCTACTTTGTCTAAATACATTGTAGAACATGCATCAGGCCATTTCAGGGAATTTTTTTATGCATGAGGGTCCTTAGACATCCTAGGGAAAAGTTAAAATGGTGTCAGCAATGCAGCTCTGTCTCTATTTTTATATTTGACAACATCTTTAAAATCCAAGTGAGGAATACAGGCTAATTGTACATAAAATGGCCCTTTTATTTCCATTACTGAAAACAAAAAAGGAACATGATCATCCTCAACAAGATACTGGTTATACAGATGAAACAAGACTGGCTGTGTCCTGACGACTGTTGAAACTCGGTGATGAAAAATGATGTTTTATTATATAATTCTCTCTACTTTGATTCAGCATGTTTCAAAAAGATGAGTTAGCCAAAACAAAAAAAAATACCAAAAAACAAAACACTTTGTCAAAACACAGTCCAGTATTTTCCAGGTTCTGTGAAAAGATCTCCCATCAAAAAGGCATCTCTTTCATCCATAGGCTGCATTGCTCAAAGTGTGTCTGGAAGCAGAATTAGGAGTAAACTCCTGGTATTTTTTTTTTTTTAAAGAAATTGAAAGATTTTTATTTTTTTTAATTTTTTTTTAATTTTTATTTATTTATGATAGTCACAGAGAGAGAAAGAGAGGCAGAGACACAGGCAGAGGGAGAAGCAGGCTCCATGCACCGGGAGCCCGATAAACTCCTGGTATTAATCCTCACCCCAACCCCCTTATAATGAATGGTGCTTTCTTTTATGCCCTTAGATTCGTGTGACTGTGTTTCCCTCAAAGACCGTAGCTCAGTATTCAGGAGTACCTTGGTGGATCATCCTAGTGGCTATACTTGCTGGGATTTTGATGCTTGCTCTCTTAGTGTTTATACTATGGAAGGTAAGTCCTATTTGGCATTTGAGTTCTAATGACCTAAACTTTATTTGACGTTTTTTAAAAGAGTGAATTTATTACACTGATAATCTGCACATTCCTTTGTAATGCTGCCCTTTTCCCAACATTATGAAACCATGCCAACTATAACAAACTTGAGAATTTTAGAGTGAACACCTGTACATCTAACTCTAGTACCTTATAGTTGAAAGTGTATTATTTGTATATTATAAGGAGTTTCTTAAATAGAAAAATTTTGGTGTTTTTCGCATAATCTAGCATGTTTGGCAAATAATTTAAAAAAATTTTATGACTTTAGTATTTATCTAAAATTCTGAATCTGAGCCAAATTGTTAGATAGCACTTTAATCTGAACCTGTATCCGTGTTAATTTCAATTTCTGTAAAGAAATGCTCATGGTAGCCACTGGGGCTTATGACAGTTGCAGCTAGATTAGGGATAGAAAACCATGAAATTAATAATTCCATTGCAAGGGGATCCTCATAGCCTCTCTCAAACATGAGGAAGACCTGGGTTTAATAGGTTTTTCATTAGAATTTGGTCCTGCAAGTAAAATTAGTATCTTCTCCTTGATTTCAGCCAGTAAAGAGTCTACATTATAAAAATGTGTGTATGAGGTGGATCCATACTTTTGTTGCCAAAGATTATTGCCTGTAGAGTTTGGATTATTCCAAGTGAGTAATGGAGGTTCACAGTTCCTTCTCAGTTACAAATTGCAGAAAACTCTGAAAGTTTGTAATGACTTACTTGGCAGCAAAGCTTGACATGTGAAGAGAAGCTATATTTTTTTTTATCCTTTATTTAATGGTTCTGTGAAACTAACAATGTTTTGATTAGAGTGGCATTATGTATGCAGCATATTACTTTTCTAAAATGCCAAAATTCTAGATTGATCCAGAGGATTTTGGATTAAATGATCATGAACCTCTACAATCAATCTCTAGGGTAACACTATCTTTATCCTTTCCCTTGGATCCAGTAGTACAGTTGACAAGGATTCAGGATATTGTCACTTTCAAATATTGGACATTTCTTTTTTGTTATTTTCCCAAGTAACTTCCTTTTGCCAGTCTGAGAAAATTTTCTGGTGTGTGATATGCAACTTGGTGACTGCTCATGCCCAGACTTCTCCCTGCATTGGATATTAGCCAGTCCTACCTCTGATGTTCATTTCAGGCCCCAGGTTTCTCTGGCCAGCACAGGAAATGATCTGAAAATTATTTTGGTATCAAAAACTGAATTTGAAGTTTGATATTTGAGGATGGCTTCCTGTGCTTTCTGGAGGAGGTCACAAAGACAGTCTTTTTCAGAGCAGGTCTTATTGGCAGTCCTTAATGAAACCATAGCAATGGGTTGAGAATTAAGAAACCCAAGTTCTGTAATTTTAGGCGATTCATCTCCGTGGGCATGGTTTGCTTTAGCTCTTTAGGTAATGGATTGAACTGTATGATCTCCTGGGTTGTTTGTAGCTCTAAAGTGTCCAGAACTCACAAGGGAACTGCAAAGTATTAGACAACCTTAATAACCCCCTACATGAAGACCATTTTCATTACTTTACTGATACTCTTCTTTCTGAAAGTGAACTATTTGTTTTCATGTTTTAAAATCATAGAACATAAGGGCCAGAAAGGACTCCAGTTCAGTGACCTTTAAACTGAGTTTTGCACATCCACATAGGTGCCAAGATTAAGCTAGGGCCAATATCCTCACTTCAACCAGAGAAGTTCTGATGTTATCTGCTTTAAATACTAGGATATTGCGTAGGGTTTTGTTTGGAGGTAGAAAAGTCCTTCGGGCTGGTTTAAGTCACCTTCATTTTGCAAACAAGGATGCTCATGCCTACGGATATTAAGAATGTTGCCAAGCTGGAAGCATTCCTACACACTCAACTCTTATTTACTGCATGTGTTTTGAAAGTTGGCTGGGTGTGTTCAAAGAGTCACAAGTAGGTATCAAGATAAAAGGTTTAAACCAATGCTGCCCAATAAAACTTTTTGTGATAGTGGAGATGTTCTGAAGCTGCACTGTCCAGTGAGGCACAGGTGGCTACTGAGCATTTGGAATGTTGCAACCAAGGCATTTTTAATTTAAATTTGAATGCTAGCATGTACTTAGTAGTTAACCATACTGTACAAAATAGATCTAGATTTTACCTTAATGAGTTTCCAGACTAGGAAGCAGAATTTTCCAGGAGGGCAGATTTATTTGACCAAGCTATATTTCAAAGGGCAGTTCTGGAGCCTTATGGACAAGTAAATAGAAAAAGTTCTTCCTGGTTGAATGAAGAAAATTGTAGTAGAAAATGGAATTATATCTCTGTGTTCATTTAGAGTGAACTAACCCGAAGAGCGTAGGTTCCTACCACTTGAGGTTACATGGTGGTTCAGAATTTGGGAAAATGATAGCAATCATTCTTTCATAATGGCATATTCTAATTAATATTATGATTTACCCACAAATCCAAAGGCCCCAAGTAGATGGCATTTGTTTTATAAAATTTACTGTGAAAGGCAGAAAATTGCAGTATCTATTTTATTTGTATTTGTGTTAAATCTTAGCAAATTTCTTTGTTGCAATAAACTGCAGAAGTCAATCTTTTGCCTATTCTAGAGTTCATATACTCTTGCATGAAGAAGCCACCCAAAGCTACGTTCAGATGGGTATATAATTTTCCTTTTAGGATAGTTTTTTTTGCCCTTAGGATTTCTGTTATAAGTTGAAAAGTCAATTAGGTAATGAATGTCCTCTATATAAGTTATTTCACCAGAGACCCATGGTAATCGAGTTGGTTTGGTTGCTGTCACAGTGTAACATAGTGTGGTGGCTGTTCACTTTTAGTTGATCCATAGTGGTCTCCTTGTAACAAGCTATACATAGAAAACAGGTTAAAATCTGAGATTTTCTTTTGTTTAGCTCTTATACACAAAACTGTAAAACTGACTAAATACCTTGCTTCCTTATAGTGTGGTTTCTTCAAGAGAAATAAGAAAGATCATTATGATGCCACATATCACAAGGCTGAGATCCATGCTCAGCCGTCTGATAAAGAGAGGCTTACTTCCGATGCATAGTATTGATCTACTTCTGTAATTGGTAATTGATCAATGTTTTTTAATTGCTAGCTGTGGGACCTGCTATGGTTGTGGTGGCTAACTTTAAGAGCAACAGCTTGCTGTGTGTGTCCCATTAACAGATGTTTCCAAATGTCCACACTGGCTTGCCTTGCTTGGATTTATTTTACTTCACTTGAAAGCTCAGTTTTTGTTTTTGTTTCTAAATGCACAGAGTCTTTTGTTGCAGGTGAGTTACTTTTGTATTGTAAAACATCACCCACAGCAATGAAGATGACTGGAATCTGTGTACACACAAAGGGAGACATTACACCTCCCTGGTAGCCCAGTTTCCTTGTGTTGTCAATCCAGTACATAGCATCCCACTTGGAATTTCAAAGATGAATAAGAGATCATTGCAGATTTCTTGTCGGCTTTGGAATTTCCCACAGATAGAAGCTTGTGTTGACTGCCTAATTAACCTGTTGCATGTTGGAAACATTGTGTTTCTCTTGATGAGAAGGCTTTCTCACTGTCCTTTTGGATCTTGCTTTATTATAAAGTGATGGCTTGGAATGCTTTTATTGTTGCTCAGAAATTGTTTTTTGCTAGCTAAGCATGCAACTTCCTTTTCCTGCGTATCTACTACTGGTCAAAGACCATTACGACAAACTATGACTGTTGACATGGTGGACATGGTGACCAATTTCAGAAAATGGTTCTTTGCCAAAGTGACCTTCATTATACAAAATTCTAACATAAAAATGCTTTAGTTACTGTTTTAATATGTTGTAATGGAGTTTGACCTTGTTTCATGTTCCTAGAGATCTTACTCAGCTTTGGGTCTCAGTTGATTTTAAGTTCGTGTTTTGCTTGTCTTGTTTATAAATCCATGGAAACAGGAATTGGTGATAATTCCTTTTTCCATCTCTGTGAGCATAAGAGGATGGAATTACTCCTGTGATCTCTTTCCATGGCACTGTCACAATGAATCCCAGCATTTCCATTTCAGTTCTATAAACCACCCTTGATTTTTCTCCTTTTTTTAAAAATTGAAGAGCCACATTTTATTTTATTTTTTTTAAAATGTTTATTTATTTATGATAGTCACACAGAGAGAGAGAGGCAAAGACACAGGCAGAGGGAGAAGCAGGCTCCATGCACCGGGAGCCCAACGTGGGATTCGATCCGGGGTCTCCAGGCTCGCGCCCTGGGCCAAAGGCAGGCGCCAAACCGCTGCGCCACCCAGGGATCCCAAGAGCCACATTTTATAATAGGTGTTTTTGGCTTTTTGCACAAAATTAAAAAAGGAGTCCATGTGGAAATGGTCTTAGAACAAAAACTTCTTGATCCATTTTTCCTATTGATTTAGTGATGACTGAATCTAATTTTACTTTGTCCCATGACATTTTTATAACATCATTCAACATAAATGTTCTGCTCCTGTTACATGAGAACACTGACCATTCCAAGTATCTTCCTCATCCTCCTTCTAACTGCATTTCTAAATTAAAAACATCTTTTCCATGAAACATTTTATTCATTTTAAAAATTCAATTTGATCAAAAAGTTTCCTGATATATCCTCAATAAAAGTCTACTTTGGATCAGATGGAATATTTTTTAAAAAATGAATAAAATATATATTAATTAATAATTTAAGTGTAAACATCTTTTGCAAAAGAAAATATTAGGGATGCTCTGAAATGCAGTGTCATACTTCCCTCACGCTCTTTGTGGCACATGATTAATTTGATTATAGGACATAGTACATGATTTATTAATGAAACAGCTTAATTTAGAAGTACAACAGGAACTCCAGGCAATATAAACTGCCTTGTAGCTAATGAGAGATGTGTACTTAGCCTTGGAAGAGAGAAGATTCTTAAATGGACTCACTTGAACACTGGCATATTCAAATAATCTGTAAAATATTTGTGATTTGATTCCATTTTGTTAGTGGGGGAGGGGTGTGAAATAATCTTTGATTTATGGCCTTTAAAAACTCTTTAAATTGAAATGATGTTCTAAATAATCTGATCATTAGGTCTTTAACATATCACGTTGATTATAAAAAATGAAAGCACTGTTCCAGAACTCTGAAATTGTCAGTACAGAGGTGACTTACTACACGGTTACAAAATATAAAGACAAGATGGAAAAACAGACTTTTCTTCTAGTTTTACAGCTGTCTTCTGTTTATCCCCACTGGCTGTTAGGTCTTTTCAACCTACTAGTTCCTTCTTAAAAGAAACCTTTTTTTTTTCCCCTTCATGCAAAGGTAGGTGTAGCTGAACAGAAAGCTTAGACATTGCCAGTTTGTGCACTTGCTTCTCTTGCAATCAATACTTACTTTGTTTCTACTTCTCTCTCCCCTCCGTCAGTGCGGATTCTTTAAACGCTCTAGGTACGATGATAGCGTTCCCCGATACCATGCTGTGAGGATCCGGAAGGAAGAGCGGGAGATCAAAGATGAAAAATACAATGATAACCTTGAAAAAAAACAGTGGATCACAAGTTGGAATGAAAATGAAAGCTACTCTTAAAAGGGGCCAAAAAAAAAAAAAAAAAAAAAGCTTCACAGTACCCAACTGCTTTTCCCTCGCCAGCTCAGAAGTCTCAGTGGACCCAAGAGCCTGCTCTGTACCTGAATGTTCATTTCAGACAGGACGACGCACAGTACGAACTTAGCTTTCACTGTGGATCTTGTCCTGTAGCCCGAGGCTCCGGGTTTGCACAACCAAATTTAAGACTGTTGGAATGGAGTTTTCTTTACCTGCCTTAATTTGACTTTGACTTTCCGGGGTTGCCTTTGTTCTCGGTGTAGCTGACCTCCCCGTGCGGGAAGGGCCTGCCCAGCGTAGCTGAAGTGAAGGAGGCGCCCAGTCGCTGCCCGAGCGAGTGCCCACCCACCCCGGGCACTGTCTCTGCACCCATCCTTCCCGTAGGACTGGAGAGCCTGCAAGCTAACTGTCCCGCATCACCGGACTATGCCGTCGCCGTAGTTGTATTTCAGTTCGAAGTGCTATCTTAAGTTAAATGTGCAATAGGTGACGTTGCCATCCTGCCATCTTTCCCCATTTCCTAGATGTGTGAGTACTCATCACACCAGATAACATACAGGTTTCACTTCTCTGTTCACTGAAACACATAGGTGCAAAAGACTTGAATGCTAGTTATACTTACTTGTATATCGTATTTATTTTTTCTTTTTTACAAACCATTTTGTCATTGACAGGCCAAAGAGTCTCCCGTTTACCCTCCCAGTTGGATTAAACAATCAGAATTAGAACATGGGAGGTCATTGGTTTGAATTTAGTGCAAAAAAAAAATAAAGCTAATCCTTTATAAGTTATTATATCTCCCTTCATGATAGCCGTCATCCCTTTCCTCCGACCCAAACTTTGGGTTTAAGTGAAAGTCTATTAAGAAATAGGATTTAACCATAAGATGTTTAATTATATCAGACAGCGGATATTTCTGAGGGTAGAACCCTGTGTGACCTCCTGCATTTTTGTGCTGTAACTTTCAAGAATGCTTGGAAACAATGGGTTTGTTGAACTTTGGTGCAGCGTAGGCCCTGCTGCAAATACTGTATCATCAGGACTTGAAAGAAAGGGTTGGTGCCTATGGTGGATCCAAACCGATCCAGTGTGAGACTACTGAGTATCTGATACCAAAGTCAGGACATCATGGCTTTTATGTTTTTAAATGTTATTGGAATCATTTAATCAGTGAGTCAATGTTGGTTTTTTTTTTTTTTTTTTTTTTTTTTTTTTTGCTTTGTTTCCTTCCTTATCTATATTCCCCAAAATTACTAAATTACTTTGGGACTGTGCTAACTGCATGGTTTTAATTATAAAAATGAAGTAGCAGAGGAGGAAAACATTTCTATACATACAACAGAGATTGGGTAGGTAATCTGAATTTTAAAAAATGTTAAGTTATATGGGAAATAATAGCAAACAGGTGCTAATTTGGATCTAGTATAAGCAGCATCTCAATCTTTCAGAAGAACAAAATACAACTGTATTTGTGTGTCGCTGTTGCTTTGGAGCTTTTTTTTTTTTTCTTTTCAGAAATCGTATGCCCTTAAGATAGTAAGGACATTCTCCTTGAACTTTGGAATTTTCATTCACAAAGATATTTTTACAATTGATACTTTGTTTACAAAAATTTCTCCAAAACAGGTCATAGTAGCCTTTGAAATCTCAGTTCCTTGCTTAGGTAACTTGTAACCAAATGCACTGGCTTTATAGGTTGCCAAGCAGCTGATATTTTGAAAGTGTCTATAGACCTTTGTTATAAAAAAAAGAAAAAAGAATATCCTAAAAGGGAAGGAAGGGTGGTTCAGCAACAAAGAATGTAGTGGTGTTTATTTTGAAAAGCGTCATCTCAAGTCAAGTCACTGGTCTGTTTGCATTTGATACATTTTAATACTAACTAGCACTGTAAAATTATTTCATGATTAGAAAATACCTGTGGATATTTGTATAAAAGTGTGAAATAAATTTTTTTATGAAAGTGTTTATTGCTTAGTAACACAAGCTCTCAAATTATAAATAACCTGAATTGCTTTCTTATTTCATGGAGCCAACCAAACTCAAGTTTTTTATATTTTTTATGTGATTGAAGGTTTTCTTTCTTCCTTTGGGCTCTACTGTTCAGTTGATATCATAAAAAAAAAAATCTTACAAGATGGTTTTATTCAAGATACCTACAAATAATACCATGGTGTGAAGAGTAAGAGTTCTTATGGCAAAGTTGCTTTCTTCTTAGATGTTTTGGATGTGAGAGCAGTTCGGCTGTGCCATTACTCATCACCAAGGATTGCTTTGGCAGAGCTGACTGGCCTGAAAATATTTTCTTCATGAAAGCAATTTTATGAACCTTCTCGAGTTGGATTATCACAATCTAATAAATGAAAATAAGGCATCTATGTAGTGCTCAGATAATATAGCATGCCATGGCCTTGAATAAATTTTCAAGGCAAAAAATGCATTATCTGTCAAGTAATAGTTTTCTACTGTACTTGGTATCACATAGTGAATTTTAGTCATCTTCGTTCTTTGAAGACAAGACAGGTTTTACCACCCAAAGAAATCTGAGGGGTACTTTTAAATGACAGACCAGTGGCTATGAACCTTTATTCACAGTCCCATGGACCTACCCAGATTAATGGTTGGTGTGGAATTGCCATTACAAGTGTCAGCAGCTGTGGTTTGGCTAGAGCATAAATGACCTGCGCTGGATATCATGGCGATGTTTTATAGGATTCTACTCCTTTTTCTTTTAAAAAATCCTAGGAGTGACAGTAGTAGATAAACAGGAATACCCTTGGATCCACTGACAAACATTAACATTTTGTTGATTATGGGTCACTTGCCACAGTCTCACAATGGGCCATGCCCTTGGGGTTGAGGCTGTTCTGCATATGGAGCAGATGTAAGGGTAAGGTCAAGTGTTCTACCCTAAATGAACACCACTTAATAAGAACTGATATCTGGTACACTAACTCATGAAAAGACAATGTGGGAAGATGGACTGGGATTTTATTTAAAGGAAGAAGAGTGAACTGCTCCAGGTGGCTGGGTTCCACAGAAGTACAACCTGACGGCCGAGAAACCAGGAATGTATGAAAATTGTAATCAGGAGGGGGAGCATAAAGTAAATGATTAAAAGCAGTTCCTTAAGACCAAAGGGTAGGGTCTAATGGTTCACCCACTGAGGAAAAGGCAAGGTCCAAAGAGATGAAGAAAATGAACTTCAGAACGATTTCAAAACAGTAGCTACCACAAAAAAGCCAGTAGGCCTCTGTTCTTTCAGTAAGTAGTTCCTACTTATGGTCAAATGGCAAGTTAGTGCTTTCTTTCTCTTATTCCTTTAAAAAAAAAAAAAACAAAAACAGGTTCTGCCAACTTTGAAAGGCATCTGGCCCAGTGCTGAGGCCAGATCCACAGAGGCGTTAACCAACAGACCCACCCAGAAGGAAGGTGATAAAGGGATTCCATGGTTAAATCCTCTAATAAGTGAATCTGAAGACAGAAACCAGAATGAGAAAAAACTGGCCTAGCACAGTGCAAAGGGGGAGGCAGGTGCAACCGAATGCATAACCGACCAGGGAATGCTGAACTAGGACACTAGAGTGAGGCGTCCAAGTGCAATTTTTGTAGAGTCCGCAGAGCTTAAGGGCCTCAGTCCTCTCTTTGCCCTTCCCCAGAAGCCAGCTCTCAGACTGTTCCATGGAAATGGGCAAGGACAGACCCACATGAGCAGAGGTCAGATAAAACTACTTACTATTCATACTTCTAGAACATTCACAAAAAAAGTCTCAAACTACAAGGATGGCAAGTACTTCATCATCCAGAACTTAGCAGATAATATTGAGTGCTCTGTTAAGATCTTGTCACTGTAAGGGGCGCTGGGGTAGCTTAGATACTCTTGGCTGAGTGTCTGACTCATGGTTTTGGCTCAGGTCACAATCTCAGGGTCCTGGGATCCAGCCCAGTGTCGGGCTCCACACTCAGCAGGGAATCCGCTTAAGATTCTCTCTCCCTCCCTCTGCCCCTACCCCATGCTCACTGGCGTGCTCTCTCAAATCAATGTTAAAACAAGATCTATCACTGTGAAATGGAGACAAATGCAGTTTAATAACTAATAGATGAATAAGCATGTGGTACATGTGTTCTATGGTCTATTACTCAGCCATAAAAAAATTTTTTTTCCATTTGAGACGACACAGATGGACCTAGAGGGCATTACGTTAAGTGAAATAAGTCAAAGACAAATACCGTATGATTTCCTTTAGATGTAGAACATAAAAAAGCAGAAAGAGACCCATAAATACAGAGAACTGACAGTTGCCAGAGGGGAGGGGGGTGTGGAGAGGAAACAAAGTAGTGAAGGGGAGTGGGAGGTGCACGCTCTCAGTTTTGGAATGTATAAGTCTCAGAAATGAAAGATGTAGCCAATAATACTGTAATAGCATTTTATGGTGATAAATGGCAGCTACACTTGTGTTGAACACACATAATGTATGTATATAGTTGTCTAATTACTATGTTGTACACCTGTAACTAATGTAGCACCGTGTGTTAACTGCACCTTAATAAAGAAACAAGGGGCACCTGGCTGGCTCAGTCGGTAAGTGTCCGACTCTTGGTTTCAACTCTGGTCACGATCTCAAGATTGTGAGATCAATCTCCAAGTCGGTCTCCGCACTGGGTGTGGAGCCTGCTTAAGTTTCCCTCTCCCTCTGCCCCTCACCCTCTAAAAATCAAAAGCAAAACAAAACAAAAAAAAACGAAAAAGCAATCCAAAACTCTCCATTATTAACAGTCCTCCCCTCCCCAACACCTTTTTATGACCTTTAAGAATGAGAGAGGGTCTCAATGAAAGTGCTATTTGGGGGGGGGCACAGTCATATTTGGTATAATAAATCCATTTATTTGCACATTCAATAGTTATAGAGCAAAAAAAAATAAAAATAAAAAAAATAGTTGTAGAGCACCTCTTATAGCACCTATTACAGGCCAAGGTCTGGAGAAACAGGAGTAACACAGACAAGATTCTTGCTCTTGTGGAACTTCTGCGATAACTGATATTTAATTAAAAAAATGGACATCACAATAGCTAATTTATACTCTTAAATATAGACTCCACTGCCATTTGTCTATGTAATGATATTACTTATCATATCTTGTATAAAATGGACCAAATCACAATTTGCGAAAAAGTTCCCAAAGACTAAAATGATGTAATGGTGGCTTTCAGGAGGAATTAACCGGTGTTCTTTTCCTTCCTTTTAAGTCTAACAGGGTGTATAAAATACTGGAATACCTAAAAGACTCTAAGAAAAGTTTTATGTGAAACAACAGATGGTGCTGTCAAGCATAAATAATCCACTTTATCTCAAGCAGCAGAATTTTAAATCTTGCAGTAAGATAACAACGGCTGACAGATAAGGTCAGGGCCTGGGCCTGTGTGGGTGGAACTTGCCTCCAGAACCCACCCCGATCCCAGGACATCTGGAGTAGCCGTTTTCAACCTGGGCTGCAGGTCTGACGTTGAGGGAACATTTGAGACAAAACGGCAATGCCCAGACATCCCGCAGACCGACCCCGACCGGGCCTCGGGGACCGGGCTCCAGAGCGACTGCAGGTGCAGCCCAGGTTGGCAACCACTCGGGGGCGTCGGGTGGCCTCAGTGTTTATGGGAAGGGCTCTGCTGTCCGCGTGCAAATGCCCCATTCCCTGCAGCGCCCCCCGCGCACCTGCAGCCAGAGCTGAGAAGCCAGCGGCATCCTCGCCACGAGGGGGGGGGGGGCTCGCTGCCCTGAGTGGGGGTGGGGGTACTCCGACGGGTGCCTGGCAGGGCCGGGCCTCAGGTTCTTCGTCCGTCGAACAGGAACTGGCAATAGGAACCTCCTGGGGTCTTGTAAGGGGCGCAGGCGACTACTGGGAAGCAGCCCTGACCTGTCCTCATTGCACCTGCCCTCGGAACCGCTGGGACGTTCAGGCAGGAGGGAGGGAGGCATAGGAATCTGGTTCCGCTTCCCCATTTCACAGACGTTGAGAGTTTCTTAAAATCGTCCCTGAACTTCTTTGCTCGCTCCGAGCCGGTCACACCCCGCGACTCCCTCGCGGCCCGAAGGCTGCACCCACAAGCTCGCGCCCCGCCCACCGCCCCGCCCACAACCCACCGCCCCGCCCACAACCCACCGCCCCGCCCCACCCACAACCCGCCGCCCCGCCCACCGCCCCGCCCCGCCCACAACCCACCGCCCGCCCCGCCCACAACCCGCCGCCCTGCAGTGCGGGCGCCGCGCTCCTCCGGGCTGACCTCCTGCGGCCGAACCGCCCGCCCCTATGGCGACGCTGGCGCGCACACCTGCAAACAGCATGTGGCATCTGCAAACTGCTTTGTACGGAGTCGGGGATTTTTTTTTTTTTTTTTTAGGACCTGGAAGAACGTGGAGAGCGGATTCCGTTTCCCAGGCCTTCTCGGGGCGCCCGGGCGGCTCGGGGCGTGACCCGGGGCGGGGATCGGGCCCACAGCGCCGCGGCTCGGCGGGGGGCCTGCGCCCCCCTTGGGCTCCCTCCCTCTCTCTCTCTCTCTGACAAGTAAATACAATTAAAGATAAATAAATGCTTTCTCGGTTCCTTCGGCACTGCCGACGTCGGCCTTGGCGGGAGGGCGCCCGCCCTCAGCACCTGCCGGCCGCACCGTCGGGGCAGCGCCGCTCGCAGGCCGCGGGGCGCGGCTCCCGCCAGGACCCGAACTCAGGGCGGCCGGGTTGGCGCCGCCTTCAGCCCGGGCGTGACCCTGGGACCCGGGATCGAGTCCCACGTCGGGCTCCCTGCGTGGAGCCTGCTGCTCCCTCGGCCTGTGTCTCTGTCTCTCTCTCTGTGTCTTGTGAATAAATGGGTAGAATCTTAAAAAAACAAACCTCAGAGCGCACCGTTGGAAGGAGGCGGGCGTGGAACTTCCCGTTTCTCCCTCCCACGTGGCCCCATCGCTGACTGAAGGTCCATTAAAGGCAAAATAGACAAGACCAAACCACCACTGGGCGGCCGGTCCTGACCGCACGTGTCCGCCGGCACCCGGAGGCCGCCCCACCGCAGGCCGCCCCCCTCGTGGCCCCGTCGCCGGGCGCCCGTGGCCGCTTCCCCGCACCCTCTGGGGAGCCTGCGCCCAGCCCCAGGTCGAGGCTTCCAGCGGGCTCCCGGGGCCGCAACGCCGCGGGTCCCTGGGTTCCAGGTGGGAGGCCGGGCGCCCCGGGCCGGCTCCGGCTCCGTCCAGGTCCCTTCCCTGTCACTTCCCACGTGGGTGACTCGGACAAATGTGCTGCCCCCCGACCTGTGGGGAAGACGCAGAGTAGGAGCAGCGAGGCCTCGCCCTGCCCCGCAGGTGCCCCGCAACCCCCCCACCCCCGCCGCAGTGTAAGCCGCGAGACCTGCCCCCCAGCGGCCGATCAGCCCCCACTGCCAAATGCAGAGAAGAGGCCGCATGGAAGACGGGAGGGGGCACCCTGGGGGCCTGCAGGGCCGCTGGCTGGAGGGGGCCGGGACATGGGGAAGGGAGACGCGCGCCAGGCCACAGCGCCCGCGGGGGCACCACAACCCCGGGAACATTCGGCTCTGAAAGTGAGAGGGGCCGAATTTCGGGAGTCCTCACAACCAGCAGGACTTAAACCCTGGTGTTTTAAAAACCAGTGGTCTCGATCCCGGGAGACCCCAGAGGATTAAGGGAGCTGAGCTCCTGCTCTTAGCATGGCCAAAAGCCCGCGAGAAATAGGAAGAGCCGTCTGAAAAAGACTGGGGATATAAGGGAGAGTTACTTGCTCATCTCACAGCACGTCCCAGAGGAGCAGGTCCCGGAGGGGCTTCTCCAGGAACGAAGGAGCCGGCAGGCACCCCCTGTCTCCCTGACACCCAGCACAAAGTCACGGCCATGGGCAGCGAACAGTGCGGCGCCAACGCTCACTGCTTACCTTGCTTACAGCAAGCCCTGTGCTTTGCGGGTCCTCAGTCCCGGCAGCGATGTGGTGAGCCCTGCAGAAGCGCCAGGCCTTACTAGAGGTGCATGCCCTGCCCATGTGTGCTCTGCGGATCTTCCCAGGCCAGCCCTGCTCCTGGCCTCAGCAGGTCTCATCATATGCAGACTGGTGTGAACTTTGTTAAAACTGCATACCCCACCCCAGCTGGGGACAAAACACCGGCCACAACAAGCAAAGAGAGCCTCTGAACACCCGGACTGAAGAGAAAAGCACGCAGAACACATCAGCAGGGTGACTGCAGTACACACAGGAGATACCCCCTTCCTGCTGGGTTTTGGTACACGGGAGAGGGCTGCACCACAGGGCAACAGGAGGCCATAAGGCCTCCTGTTCTTCATAAGGCCATTACTTTCAAGGAGAGATGTAGTCCTAATACAGAAACAGTGACACAAAATGAGGAGACAAAGAAGTATGTCCCAAATGAAAGAACAGGACCAAAGCGTAAGAGACCTAAGCAAAATGAATGTAAGTAAATATGCCTGATAGAGAATTTAATGATTGCAAAGATACTCACTGGACTTGAGAAAAGAGTGGAGGACATCAGTGAGACCCTTAACACAGAGATTAAAAAAGAACCAATCAGAGAAGAGGAACTCAACACAAGAAATAAAATTAAAATTACACTTGATGTAATAAATAGCAGCACCGAAAAAGCAGAGGAATGAAGGGAAGTAATAAAGATGAGCAGATGAGAGAAAAAAATTTGCAAAATGAGACTTTACTTAGGAAACTTACTAACTCCATCAAGTGTAATAACATTCACATTATAGGGATTCCAGAAGAAGGAGAAGAGGGGAAGAAAATTTATTTGATTCAATAATCGCCAAAAAACTTCTGCATTCTGGTGAAGGAAACAGATATCCAGATCCAGGAGGCACAGGGATGGCCCAACAAAATCAACCCAAGGAAGTCCACACCAAGACACATAGTAGTTAAAATGGCAAATAGTAGTGATAGAGAATTTTAAAAACACCAAGAGAAAAGAAGGAAACCTTCAAAAGGCTATCAGTAGGTTTTTTAGCTGAAACATTGCAGGCCAGAAGGAAGTAACGAGACACAAAGTGCTAATAGGGAAAAAAGTCTGCAGCCAAGAATACTCTATCCAGCAAGGCTATCATTCAGAACAGAGGGAGAGGTAAGGAGCTTCTCAGACAAACAAAAGCTAAAGGCTTTCATGACCAGTAAACCAGCCCTATAAGAAATGTTCAAGGGGACTCTGAGTGAAAAGGAAAGACCATGAGTAATAAAAGTAGGGAAAAAAAGATGTGGTGCACACATGCACATGTGCATGCACACACACACACACACACACTGGAATATTACTCAGCCATAAAAAAGAATGCAATCTTGCTGTTTACAATGATGTGGATGGAGCTAGAGAATATTATGCTAGGTAAAATAAGCCAGCCAGAGAAAGACAAATACCCTTTGATTTCACTCACATGTGAAATTTAAAAATCAAAACAGATGAACATAGCAGGGGTTCGAAAAGAGAGACAAACCAGAAAATAGACTCTTAACCCTGGAGAACAAACTGAGGGTTACTGCAGGGGGCTGAGTTAAATGGGTGATGGGGATCAAGGA